CATGAACAACGCTAAATCTATCCTAATGGGTGTGCTGAAAAAGCGTCACTCTAGCTGTTGGAATTGTGCTTGGATACAGTTGCTGTCTTTTTTGCCAACTCTCTACGGTTTGCCTTGATTGTGCCCATGTCCATGCTGCCTCAAAAAAAACCGCACAAACATGGGCATGGCCGTCCACAAAAAACGGCTTCCACAAGCGGCCCAGCAAATCCGAACAAAGCAATCTTTCAATGAAGCTGCTTGACCCTATGTTCATAGTTTTTCCTCTTTCCAATCTCTGTGTCATCTACCTTTTGGTTTCTCTAGCTGCTCCAACTCCACTGCTAAGATTCAAGCACTCAAAATGGAGGTGATCTCATACACAGACATAAACATAAATATGTGTATATATGTATAGATATATGTACTTGTTTGTTTGTTTGTAACACGTAAGGAACCCAACTCCCTAAAGTCCTAGTTATGGTATGCTTTAGTGGTATTCTGTGGGAGTACCTCCACTTTGGATGCTTGAACAAACCATCTTCGTCCCGACAAATCCAGCCTCAGTGCCCATCACGTTGGCAGCGCCCGTATACATATATATATGTATATGTATGCATGCATGCATGCATGCATGCATGCATGCATGTATGTATGTATGTGTGTGAGTATGTGAGTATGTGAGTATGTATTTATATCTATCTATCTATCTATCCATCTATCTATCTATCTATATATATATATATCTACCTCTCTCTCTCTCTATCTGATTTTTCTTTGATCCACTGGCAAACTGTTGGGCACAGGAGTGGAAATATGACGTGGTCCAAAGTGTGACTTGCCAAACCAATAAAGATTAAAGATTAAAGCTGAAAGCTAGGGTGGTTCTGGAAACAATAAACATCAGCTACCAAGCGGGATCATCCTCCAAATAGTCACCATCTCTACCAATTTCCGCATTTTTCCTGCAAACGCAGCACATTCGTGCAAGCGCAGATCATGTCGCAGTGCCTGTGTATCTGGAGCAGAATTAGTTGTGCTGCTTCCTTTGGCCTTTCATGGATCCATGGGATATTGCGTGGCACTTCTGGTGAAAAAACGTCCGGCAAAGCCACAAACTAATCAATCAGCAAGGTTGCCCAAATTGGAGTGATGATGCTGAAATTGCTGTGGGAAACACGGGGATTCTTCAATTTGTCTTCTCCATCATTCCACATGAACAGTTAGGGTTTATAAACATACAGATCATACAGTATATGCACTCAGGTCACCGGTGATGTTTCACCGCCCCAAAACGGAGAACGCACGTCAACTCCCCAATGAACACTTTGTTGAATCCCATTTGTTGGTGGTCAACTCTTTAATGTTAGTAAAAAAAAGAACAAATGCAACATATATGTCATTGTTCATCATCTTGGGTCTCAAAAATTGGGACCTCCACATATCATGCATTTATCTTTATGTTCGTCCCGCAAATGGAGGTTTCTATAAATGGGGGCACCCCAGAATGGATGGTTTATAATCGAACATCCTATATATATATTAAAATGGATAATTTGGGGGTACCACCATTATTAGGAAACTCCATTTTTGAGACAACCCCATCAATGTTTTTTGGGGCACGTCAATTTCATGTGGTCCCTGTGCTCTTGTGATCAGAAATGGGTTTGTCTCCAAAACAACAGAGTACCCCAAAATCCATTGGTTTATCATCATTTCCCCATTGAAAGTGCCATATATATATATATCCTGGTTGGTGGTTTCAACCCCTCTGAAAAATATGAAAGTCAGTTGGGATGATGAAATTCCCAATATATGGAACAATAAAAATGTTCCAAACCACCAACCAGTATCATATTTACCATAAACTATCCCGCATTTTCAGACACACCCATATGGATCCATTCCATATCATTTCCTCACTTCAATGGGAATTTCAGGATCCTAAAGTGGAGGTACTGTACCATAGAAGGCCATATTTTGTGGGGATATTCCCTAACATAGGCTAAAACATGGGCCTTATGTATGGTAGCTACCTCCAATCAATCGGTTAAACTGGCCATTTTGGGGCTATTCATGGTTCATGCGCAAATGGACCACCCACGACACCTCAACGTCACGATCTGCGTGGGGAATCGCAGCCTAACCTTGGACTAGTCTGCGAAGTCTTCACGGGAATGTGCCTGGCAGCCTCTGCACCCTGAATTTCTTGATACCCAGCGGTCCACTCGTGAAGTATTCCAGCGGTCCTGTCATCATCCCCAGAAACGAAACCCGGTATCGGTATTACTTCATAGCTGGTAATTTTATGTGTGCATCCATCTAAACATCTGTAATAATCAGGGGTCATTTAAGTCGGCTACTGAACAGGGTGGCAGAGTGTGCACTTTAGGCACCATGACAGCTGCGACAGTCGATTTCCACGCAAACTGCGCTTGAATTTCAATGAATAGAATGCAGGTGGAATCAGTTGAAGATTAGGAACATCTTGGGATTGGGATCAAAACCCTGAAAATAGCTTGGATTTACTGATGTTCATCCAGCCAAAAAAGGCCGTATTTAGACATACTAATCCATAGACATCTCAGAATGTCATACTATCATCGGATTGGTTTAAGGGAACATCTTAACCAGAAACCATGGTTTTTACCATTCAATATTGGGGGGTTCCGGTTAACAAAAAAATAAAAATAAAAACTTAAACCAATCCAAGGATACCAATGTGTCAGGCAACGTTTGATGTGAATGGTCAACCAGCCTTGGGGTGTCAACGTTAGGGCTGTAGACCTGGATCAATGATCATGTTCTGCGAGTAGCCCAGCAAATCATTCAGCAGCAAGGGTCTATTCAGTCCATAGCAACCCAAATAGAATTACATCTATCTATCTATCTATCTGTCTGTCTGTCTGTCTGTCTATCGATTGGTCGATCTATCCATCCATCCATCTATCTGTCTATAGAACCAATATTTGGTGGGATAATGTTCGTGAAGGCAAGTAAGTACATATATATATATATATGTATAATATGTCACCGGAATTCTCCTTGAAATACTCTTCGGATCTTTTCGGCATCTATTGGAGACCCTGACATATTCATCAAGAGTCCTGACATAGAATAGAGCAATATGGGCTGAACATGTATGGGTGCTGTTTCTTGATTTTCAAACATCAACAGGTTGTGCCATGTTTGTGTCCTAAACTTGGAACTCTACATGAACTACTTGGTCTACTCTCACATCAACTCACTTCGACAGTCGCGACGCGGACGTTGCCTCGCTCGCAGGTTTCGCAAGCGAGGTGATGTACTCACTTCGACTGGGAAGACCGTGACTTGCGCGTCGTGGATTGGCTCGGTGACGCCACGTTGGCTCCAAGAATCTAATGGTTCCGGTAAAAATTAAGAGGATTCACCGGGAAAATACGAAGGGATCATCTTCAGCAAATCCCTGTTTTTCGGGATTCTGGATATGTCTGGTGGAAAACCACAACCAGTGACATAAAGTGACCATTTTTTTCCAGCAACTTCCTGTTCCGGGCTACGTTTCTGGATCAACTACCGTCCCAAAATGATGGTGAATGCAAGCAGTCAACTAGCCATTACCCAATAGTTGATATTGAGCATGCGACTGTCTATAATACTTTATATATACCCATAGGATCCATGATGCTATATATGGTAACATGGATCCCATCAATGTTAGCATATATACCAGCACCATGGATCCGTCATGGGATAATATTCATGCATCTACTAAATCTACTATAGATTACTATAGGACTATTTTCGGATTGCTATTTCATCATTCGAATATAGCAAGTCACATTCCTCTAAAGCGGTGGACCTGGCAATTTTGCAGTCCCTCCATGCCCCTCCAGGGAAAACCAGCAACGAGCAGCGAACACTGGGCATCGCTGCTGATCATCATTTACCCTATGCTATTTTGTTTTAAAAAAACAAGAAACCGGGTTAATGACTTATATAGTGGTTCATAATGAATATAATGATGAATACTGATGAATTGAGTTTCCTACATGGCAAAACTTGGAAAAATCAATGAACTAAATGGGGATTGCAATCCATGAACATTGGGATTCTTCATAGGATTAGAATCCACGAATGGTGGAATACACCCTTTGGTAATTTCACATGGCAATGGAAAATCCTAACGTTTGGGAAAAGACGGGAGAAACCTCTACAATTTCCATCGCCGAAGGGTTTCCATCACCACTTTTTATATGAGTATCCCATATCCCCCATTTGGAGTGTGAATTTCCCATAGAGTATGTGTTTTCTGCATTTGACATATGGATACATATGGCCCTTCCATGAACCTGCACTCTTTGAAGATGTCACCAAACACCAAAGACTCACGAAATGCCACATGGGGCCCAAGTCCTTCCATTGTCCTTGTACATAAACCAATACTTTGCCAACTATGTTCAACAAAAAGAGTGTGTAATGTGAAATATCATCCATTTATAGCAACATACCGGGTATGGCAAGAAATAAGTCTGACATAACCTGAACAATAAAAACAAACGCAAAAAGAAGTACCTTCGAGTTTACCCAGAATCCATGAGTTGTCCATTGAGGTAGCTCTAATTTAGATATCCATCCATCCTTAAGAAGGGCTAAAATCCCAGTCACGTCCATTCACCAAAGATTCATGTTGCGAATGTCCCTTCACATTGACTCGCACATCTCAAATACTCATCCAACCTCTGTTGATTCTCAGTTGGGTTGATTCTCAGCTGGCTGTGATACATATATATATATATACACTTATATGATAAATATGTATATAAATATACCCTCCGTTGTCATCAAACATAGCAATGGACATCCCCACAAATGGAGCTGTTATTTTCCGTTGCCATGTTGAATGTTTGACTACCAAAGGGTATGTAAATGTATATGTTATTTGTTTTTCCCTGTATGCTTTCCCCTCAATACGGGCTTCACTGGACCCTGGTTAACTAAAGTCCGTCACCCCAGTGTTCGCGGCAAACTCATTGGCTCTAACCTGGGCGGTTCCGGTGAAAAACAACAAGCCAGGCTTCCAGGCTTTTGAGAATGGGGTACAGCCCAACTAGTTATTCTGTTCCGAATCATTGGACTGTACACCATCTGAATAGCCACATGGCTATGCTTCAAAATGCAGGTGCTAATGGACTCACACACTTTGTCATTTGTATCGATTGACCCAGTTTTGGAGACTATAATCTTGACTTCCAAAACTTAGTCATCAATGAAAAGTTTACAGTTTGCGATCAAATTTCGGGAGTGATGTAAAGCAATTCTGGGAAACTGGAATAAAAGGTCCATGGCCAATCTTGGATCAAGGATTTATCTCAAGTTTGTTCTTCTACAGCTGAGCTACATCTTTTACCGTAAGATTCCGGTCAAAATTAGGTCATCATTAAATCATCGCTAAATCACATGAGGTCATCATTAAATCATCATTAAATCCTGTAAATCCCATTCCCAATGGTCATTAAATCCCAGTAAATCAGAAAATTACCAGGTTAATCATGGTTAATAATAGTTAATAGTTGTTAATAATGGTTGATAATAGTGGTTAATAATGGTTGTTAATAGTGGTTAATGATGATTAGTGGTGAATATAGTGGTTACCCGGCCTGGTTTCTATTCACTTGTTGACCCTGAAATTCACCCCATTTTTAGTGGTTTTACTCATCGGAACCATATCCGACAACTGGCAGGGTCGAAGTGTTAATTTACTGAAGAGGCTATCCCAAAATTGTGGTTTTAGATTTGCTGACTCTTTAAACAAACCAAAATCCGCGGTCCGTTCGGGGTCATCTGCAAAAAAATACCAATGCCCATCATTTCTCCATGAGATTCCCATATTAGATTGTGGCTCATCTTAAAACCCCACGAGATGATGGTGAAATTCCCATGCAAAACCAAACAGGGGTGATTCAATTTTGAGGTGCTTAGTTATATTCCATATATTTGTCTTGGCTCCTCACACTTAGATAATTGTTAACATGGTCTTCATTTTTTTGACCCAACGGTGTAAGTTACACGATTCAGTATTAATCGCCTAAATATTTATCAGCATATTACATCGCCATGAATTACAATTAAATCACCATTAAGCAACCATGATGGTTGAAAGGATTTCCCGGTTCATGGACTGTGATAGTTTCCAATACATAAAGGATTGGTGTTCACCCCAGAACGAATCATCATCAATCAAGAGGGGTTGCCACTGCTTAAATGGAAAACCCTATAGTTTAATCCACATGTCTCTTGGCGAATCTTCATTGAATCAGCAGTAAATTACCATTAAATCACGATGAAATCACCATGAAATCACGATGAAATCATGGTTAATCCCTTCACAAAGAATCATCACCATGAACCACCCATTATGTTTGCCACTCCACCGTTACCACAACCGACGTGCGGCTCTCAAAATCCCTTGCCGTTCCAAGGGCTCCGCACGGGCGGAGAGCGAGCCCTTGGAACGGACCATGGCGGCAGCGTCCAACTCGTCAACGGCCTCGACAGAGGTATACCAACCCCTCTATGGGGTATCATAATCTCCAATTAAGTAGTATACCCTCTGGTAATTTGACATAGCTATTGGAAATTGCCGTAGACATAGTTCATTTACCCATTAACAATGGTGATTTTCCATAGTTATGTTAGTTTACCAGAGGGTATATACACCCATCTATCATCATATCACTGGCCATCTCAGGAACCGATTGAGTGGAGGTACCTACCATATATAAGGCCTATACAAGGCCCATGTAATTACGGGAATATCCCCACAAAATATGGCCTTATATGGTACAGGACCTCCATTTTAGGATCATTGAATTCCCATTGATCATATATGTACATAACTATGTACATAAACCCATGGATATCAGATATCTATGTAGAAAATCAAAAATAAAGCCATCAAATATCTACCATATCGACCTTTTTAACCCACCAATCACCGACCCGGCCCCCGCAGCGAACAAAAAAAATCGTAGCGTCGCAGGTGCCTCTTCGCCATCCTCAGCAAGGAAGTTGATTGGTGATTAGTACAATGTAAGGCCCCCAAGATAGCTAAGTTGGTTTATAACTCCAATAACTATGTCTAACTATAGTTACTGGGGCTTATAAACCAACTTATAACTGGCGGGGGCCACATTGTATATAAGTCAACTAACCTGGTGATTAGTATCAACTATTTAAGTTTATTTGTTTTAACCAATCAATTGGTAACTTGGTTATTGATCACTCCACTTACTCTATAAGTATCTTTTCTAGCCTGGTGATTCGCAATCATAAGTCTCCGATTCGTGGCTTATCTCATCTATAAATTGGGCTAGAAGATGGATCCATACCCATAGGATCCATGGTGCTGCTATATATGGTAACATTTACCATCAATATACCCCATTTATGTTAGCATATATAGCAGCACCATGGATCCTATGGGTAAAGTACACATTTCTATGGGCACAACTGGAGGGTCTAGGTATATACTGATTTTGGGGTCTTGGAAATTTCAGATAGTCATGGATTATCATGGATTATCATGGTTCCATCGGACACGATTGGTAGAGTTTATTTCATCATTCATCGACGACTTTTTTTTTGCGAGTTCTCCATGGCGATGCTACCAGGGAAGCCCATCAGCCCATGGGATCATCCCATGAAGAGTGATAGAAAGCCACTGCAAAACAGCCTCCAAATAGCCTCCAAACATACAAAAAGCTATGGAAGCCATGGCTCATTTAGTTCGAGGATTTACCTGTGGAAATGGGGATTTTCCATAATTAGCTATGTAACAAATGACCAGAGAGAAATCAATGGGAACATCTACGGGACAACAATTTTCAGGACAGGTTTGTATTGAAACCCATGGCTTTACACGGTGATGCTCCAGTTGATCCGGGACCAAAGCAAGAACCCAGAACTAGGGGAGCACTAAGCCGATGCCATTGATGGCAAATTATGAGTTAGATCACTTCAAAAAAAACAAATCCAATGTTTGTTGCTGGTTGCCACCATTTTTGGATCCATGTTTCATGGCTTTTCTCAAGTTTTCTCCATGTTGAAAAAACCATGTTCCATGGTAAATCATGCGGGTAAATGTAAGTAAATCCACGTAAATCTCCAGCATGTTCATTCACTGGTTGGTGGTTTCAACCTACCCCTCTGAAAAATGATGGACTTCGTCAGTTGGGATGTTATTCCATTCCCAACTGAATGGAAAAAAAATCATCCATTCATGTTCCAGTCACCACCAACCAGTCATCCATTTTTCATAGCTCCGGGCATCCGGACCAGCAGAAGTTTGCCGTCCTCCGCCACTTTGAGACGATCTGCCTGGGAGCGCGGTGAACGATGGATCTTTTTGTTGGGGGTGAAATATATAGTTAGCCTCTGGTGAAACTAACAAAACTATAGAAAATCATGGAAAATCACCATTTTTAATAGGTAAATCAACTATAAATGGTGGTGATTAATGGTGATTTAATGGGATTTTATGGTGGTTTAATGGGATCTAATGGTGATTAATGGAGGTTTAACCTCTGGGAAACGTTTACATAACTATGGAAAATCACAATTTTAAAAAGGAAAATCAACTATAAATGGCAATTTCCAGTAGCTACGTTAAAGTACCAGAGGGTAATTCACCAACAATAATAGCAAGAGTAACTCAATTAGAGTTATAAATCAACCATAATAACAAGTTCAATAAAATTCAATAATCATGATATACTTAAGAATCAGTGTGTAAACATGAAGTAAACTTTGGATTTCACAATCGGTTTGTCCAGCCGATTGTCCGATCTGCAGCCAATTCTGGTGTACAGCTCTTGACTAAGACTAGAGGCTATGACTTTGAGGTGCCACTTCAAGATGTTTCTAGAAGATGGTTCCACATACCCTCTGGTAAACATACAAAAAACTATGGAAAATCACCATTGTTTATGGGAAAACTCACTATAAATGGACCATTTTCAATAGCTATGTTAGTTTACCAGAGGGTAGCTACGTTGGTTTATTGCTCACAGAACTGTTGGGTCTATGGTAGATGTATGGAACTAGTGGGCTTTGAAACAAAACCAATAAACACTGGGGGCATGACCTTGTATTCTCAGTTTCCCCACCCCATCTGCTCCATGGCAACCCACTCAACTGAGGCAAATTTTACGTCTAAATGTTGGTAAATATTTCATGCATGGAGCACACAGGTACAATTGTTGTTATCTGTTGTTTTTTTTTTACATATATATATATATATATGTAATATATATTTGTAAGTTTCCCTGACATTGTCTGAAATGCATTTAACAACAGAATTTAACATCAAAACACATGCTCCGTGTCATGGCCGTTTTGATAGGGATTCACCATTATCACCATAAGCTAAGGTAAACAAGTTCAACAAGTTTCTATAATCAATGATTTTCCAACCATTTCCAAACTATCAATATCCAGATGTATCCAATCAATTTTAGGGAACGCGATTCTGGATGAACCATGGGATGCCATTTTCCAACATGTTTCCTGCGAAGAGCCACCAACAAAGTTGTATAAAGTTGTGGTGGAGTGTGTTTCACTATAGGGAAAGGATGGGAAAGGTGTAAAATCACCGTTAAATCACGATAATCACCATTCATATCCATTCATCACTAGTTAATCACAAGTATTCATCACCATGGTTCATCACTATTCATCACAACTCAATTTCACTATGAATCTGGCGATGCCAAGCGGCAATGCGGCGATAGTCGCCATTCGTCTCCCGGTAGAGCTGCCGGTGCAACTTCTCCTAGTCAAACATGGGGAGTGAACTGTGAAGAATTGTGGGTTTTACCCTCTGGTAATGACTAACGTAGCTATTGAAAATGGCCATTTATAGTGGATTTACCCATTGAAAATGGTGATTTTCCATAGTTATGTTAGTTTACCAGAGGGTATATCGTTTTAGTTTTACCATGAACCCTGGGATTTACCATGATTTACAGACAGTAGATGGATTTAGACTATCAAACTTAAACATCCAAAATGTGACTTTAGAATCAACACTGGTGATTTAACAACCCACAAATACTGACTCGACATGACTTTAACCACAAAAAAAAGTGATTTGTATATTTATGTTCCATTATATCCCCATTATGGGAAACTAACCCATGTTTTGATCGTGACACTCATCTGTCTCTGTTCAGATTGCCCGGTCCTTTATGATCAGCTCTAAAGTCGTGGAAGAGGTGTTGTCCTGCTGGTGGATAGCGGGCAGCCCGGAAAAACCGATCAAGTTGAGTCAGTGCACTGGTCATTTGACCACCAACATTGCAGAGGTAGTTCACGATGTATAACGGTAGAACCTTGGAACTTACAAAACTTTATAGTCACAAAAACATGTTTCAATCAACAAGAGCGGGGTTGCAATTCAACAAAAGGCTTCAACCAATAACCATGATAATTTAATCATTTACAATGGACATAATGTCACCTCTAAAAATGATTAATGAAACATATATTTATCTAAGAGCAAACTTGAGCAAACATCATGTGCTTTAGAATAGGAAGAAACACCGCAGGCCTGCATTGCTCGCATTTTTCCCAGCATTTGACTTCTGCTAGCCATGTTGCTTCTTTGAACGACATTCGGAGTCTCTTTTTTTACCCCACCTTTGGAGCTTGAGATGGAAATCGTCTATACATGGTTACTGTAAGAAACCAGTAATAAGATAAGAGCAACTCCAAAGAAATTTCAGTAACATCCAACTACAATAGTTGCAATGACTGTGTTGTTTTATCTTTCTGGGGAGTACTATAGTATGTATATACCACACACAGCTGGGTGATAACTATCATGTTAAAATTGTTTTTACACGGCATACTGCGATACATCCATGTAGACTGTTGTGTTTTTTTGAGCAAATTATAGTTCCATTTCACCGACATTTTCCGATGTCCCACGCGGTCAATCTTTGATACCCCGCCCTCATTTGCATACTTCGAGCCTTTTTCTTGCTACGTGGAATCTACAGGTTCTAGGCATGTCTAATAATCTATGCTACATATATATATATATTACATAATATATATTATAATATATAATATAATATATATATATACACACAATATAATCATATAAATCATGTCATATTCATATCCCATGAGATCCCATTCTTTCCTCCCAGGGATTCCATCTCCGATTCCAGGTGTTCCCTTCTGAGTCGCCCCTACGTAGGCTGAGATAAACAGGTTCCGGCCTGGGATAACGGCGGAGTTCACCAGATCCAACGGGCTGGTGGAATTCACCAAGGGGGGACCTGAAGGACCTGACCAACAAAAAATTAACGAAGAAAAACATATGGAAAACATATGGATTTAACATGATTTAACTCATGGATTCATGGCACACATATATATATATATGGATTAACAGGGAAACTATGAAACAATGGATTTAACTCATGGATTCTATGAATTCTATCTCATTGATTTCCCTGCTCTTCAGATTTGGTAACGAAATGTTCCAGCGTTGCCAAGGCCACCTTAACTGAAATGTTCCAGATTTGAGCTGCTTGAACTAGAATTGGCCGGAACCAGCCTTTTCAAGTGTTTCATCAGACTCTGCCCACGCCTTGCTGAAACCTCGCCAACTTAGCAATGGCATGGCCATCGCGCAAAGGCAAAAGCAGTGTATCGGTCGCATGTTGCATCACTAAATCCCGCGACCATCTTACACCCCAGTGAAAAAGTGATTTCAACAAAATAAAAGGGTAATACCGGGTATAGCTGGGAAATCATCGAACTATGGCTGATTTTCCAGCTATGTTCGGAACGACATCATCCCCGGGTGAGGCGGCCGAGGTACCATCAGTTGACATGTCCACCAGATAGTAGGTGTCACTGAGCTTCATTCCTTCCTGTCACGGGGGTTCCTGTCATATCCAATTGGACCATGTTGGACCATGTTGCATAATTGGACCATGGACCGGATGGATGTCAAGGAGATTTGCATCCCAAAGAAAGTGATGAAGATGGAGAAAGATGACTTGATGATTTGTGTTTAATGAGTTTAATGGATTGATTCCAATTCACTTTCTGAAAGTGGGACCACCAAGCAAAACCATTCCTGCTCGGTGCTGGTTTGACAATGACGCTGACTCCAAAGTATCTATGCAGCAGAACATGGTGCATCACCAAATTGCAGTGATATATCACCAAAACTTCACCGATCTTCAAAGCCAAAGTGCCCTTTTCCACATCATAAATCATATTATTGCCCTTTTCCATCCTTTTCCACTCCAAATCCGCTCCGTCCCCTGGGGGGATCCATTAAAAAAAACGGTTGATCGAACGACGAACGACGGGAACCATCTCTAGCGCCTTCAAGACATACTTCTGGTTGGCGCCATCCGCTAGGTCCTGGCTGATGGGCCAGGATGGATGTTGGTAAGTGACGATTTTGGGGCCATAGAATCATACAATGTGGGGCCCCCCAGTTATGTTTGTTGGTTTAGATTCGCCCCAGTAACTATAGTTATAAGTACCATAAACCATAGTTATTGGAGTTATAAACCAACTTAGCTATTGGGGGCCTCACATTGTAGAACTCCAAAGTATAAAAACCATATTTCACCAGAATCAACGCCACAAAGAAGCGGTCGACCGGTGCCATTTCTGATAAACGTCGCCGTGACGGCGAGGTGTGGAGAAAATGGCATGACCACCCAAAAAAACAACCATCCATGCATCATCATGCATCTACCCCATACATGAAATACGAGGTGGGTCCAAGAAAATGTGGGTCTTATCCAAACATGTGGTTCTTCGTTGAACTTCGTTGCGCAGAAAAAAAACAGTTTTGGTAGTGAAGCTTCCCATGGTTCCACTTAGAAAGCCAAAAACTCACTTGGAACCCAAACAATTCTCCATAGATTCCCCAGTCATACTGGATTATGATTTCCCCAGGGAAAAATAAAACACCGACTCAGAAAAATCAGATCATTATGATATCTCCCATTATCCCCATTATATACCAATTTTGCTGTTTACATCATTGTTACATTCATCATATTCATTACTCAATTATATTGGTTAGCTACCCCCTTGGCAATAAAAAAAATAATTGGCAATGCAGCCAAATAAACCATTAGTTATAATCAGTAATGCTACCAGTATCGTTGACTCATAAAATCACCAATGAAAACTGGTTTATATTAATAAACATGCCAATCTTTAACTTGTAACAACCAATTTTTATTGGTTTCCAATTACCAGGATTGTATCAATTTGGATTCTGGATGTTCCGAGTTACCCTACGGTAAACATTTACATAGATGTGGAACACCCACCATGTGTAGATAATTTTCCGAACGGAAAACCATTGATTTTCCACATCATTTTGTATGTTTAACCCAGGGAGTGTCCCATAATATATAATATAATATTAATATAATATAATATAACATAATATAATATAATATACTATGATATAATATAATATAATATGATATAATATAATATAATATAATATGATATGAAATATATAATTTAATGTTTATAATATGTATATTATATATAATAAGTAATATTAAATATATTATATATAATATTGTAAATATATATTATAAACATTTTTATATTATATATATATATGTTATATAATATATATATATATTATAAACTATTATATAATATTATGTATAATAATATATATATATGTATTATATTAGATTATATTATATTATAAACTATTATATAATATTATACATAATATATACTATATGTATGTATATATATATATGTATTATATTATATTGTATTATAAACTATTAGATTATATTATAAACTATTATATCATATAATATATAATATATAATATATGTATATATACATATGTATTATATTATATTATATTATATTATATTATATTATAATACACCATATTATAATATAAAATATTATATAATAGTATATATAATATATAATATATTATATATATATCATATTATTATAATCCCATATATATACATACATAATAAACATTAATAAATCACAATCGCATATCTTGGGAACATCATTTAGGCCTGTGTCTGTAAAAATGACCCATTCGAAAATCCCCTCCTTGGGCGGTGCTCGGCTGGTGGACGGCGCTGAACGACTTGTCATGGCGCCATCCTCCTGGCATGCTGAGTGCCACCAAGAAACATGCTGCTTTGACCAAGATAAATCGTACCGGTAAGTACTAAGGATGAATTTCTCAGACGTCGCGGCCCAGGCGGGTGAGCTTTTGTAAGCTAAGATTATTCGGATGCACAAAAAGGGAAGGGGGGTAGATATGGAATATCATTTGGATAGGCTGGGAGAAATACCAATCATTCACATTTCACTTGGTTTTCCCGGTGATATGCTCCACGAGGTAATAATTAACAGATCTGACCCACAGAGTTGTGGGGTATGAAACAAATCATTTACGGGAATATCATACTGACATCATCAGGATATTGTAAATATAGGATATATTATGATATATTGATATATAACCAACCCATATTTCACTGGATGATTGGTCTAAGGGAAGAAATGCTTCAGAAACACATAGGTTTTACATCAGTGGGTGGTTTGTTTCTTCGAACCCTCAAACCAATTCTGAAAATATGGAAACTGTAACTAGTAACAGGTGTTACCCTCTGGTAAACTAACCTAACTATTGAAAATTACCATTTTTAATGGTTTTATCAACTATAAATGGCCATGTTCAAAAGCGATGTGACAAATTTCCAGAGGGTATATGCCTAATTTTGCATTGGGCCTAATTATGCCATGATCTTTGTTGGGTTATCGAGGAAGCCCTCATCGGTTCTAAACTGCTGTAAGGGTTGTCTCCAGCACCCAACCAACTTGCGCTAGCTTTCAAGGCATCCTCAAATAAGTCTATGAAGGGGATGGGAAATTGCTGAAAATACGGTACCCCTAAATGTCCAATGTCAAAATTATTGTTTTGAAAGTAGATCCACCAGTTTCATGTATATATATATATACAAATGTACTATATTACGATGTTTATGCATGTATGTAGTATATGTAATATATATATATATATATATACAAATGTGTATATATATATATATATATACATATATATATATATATATATGTATATATATATGTATATATATATATATATATGTATATATATATATATGTATATGTAATATATATATATATATATATATATATATATATATTATGAGAATATATATATAAATAATATTGTATAATATGTATATATTATATATTATATAATATGTATATAATATATATATATATAATATATATATATATGTATAAATAGAAATAATATATATTATATATATATATTATAATATGTGATGGTATATATATATAATATGTATATACCATATAATATGCCATAGTAATATTACGGCCAGGCCCTGTGTGTTGCCCGGAAGTTGCAGGGACGTTCCCGGCAAATTTCATGATGATGATGATGATGACGATGATGATGATTGAAGATCTTCAATGAATGTAGAAGTTCCACGGGGTGGGAAAATTAAACCCTGATTGAGGATCTTCAATGAATGTAAGAGTTTAACGGAGTTGGGAGAATTAAACCTTTATTGAAGATCTTCAATGAATGTAAGAGTTTAACGGGGATGGGAGAATTAAACCCTTATTGAAGATCTTCAATGAATGGAAGGGTTTAACGGGGGTGGGAGAATTAAACCCTTCTTGAAGATCTTCAATGAATGGAAGAGTTTAACGGGTGTGGGAAATTTCACCCTTATTGAAGATCTTCAATGAATGGAAGAGTTTAACTGGTGTGGGAAATTTCACCCTTATTGAAGATCTTCAACGAATGTAAGAGTTTAAGGGGGGTGGGAGAATTAAACCCTTATTGAAGAATCTTCAACGAATGTAGAAGTTTAACGGGGGGTGGGAGAATTTATATGAGATGTATAGTGTGAACCAAAAATCCTTGTAATTTACGCTATTCTGGGCTTGGGCAACACACGGGGCCTGTGGGGAATATTATAGCCAATGTATGCCCATGGTACCATGGTATATTAATTTGCTCCCAGATTTTGTTAATTAAGCGAGCCAAATAAACCACTTTTAGACAAACCCAAATCCATATACCACCATTAAACCAATAAAATCACCATTTGGATCCATTTGGTTGGTGACAAGCCCCCAAGAAATCACTTTTTTATATCTCCCATGATATCAGCTAAAAACATGGCCATGGTTCACCGCAGCCATCCATAGCAACCGCCACGAAAAACCATACGAAAAACCAATAAACAGCTACCGCTTCTTGTAGGTTTCCCAAGAAATCTCATGCATCATGGGTTCCTTTTTCTAGATATCCCATTAATATTCAATTAAACTGTCATGTTCACATGATTTTCCCATCATGTTCCTCTCACTTTCCTATGACTAGCCAACTCATATCACATTGAACCATTACATCGACCATATAGAAACCATGCATCAATTAAATATGTATTCCATGAATAAGTCATTCATATACTATTACTATTCCATTTCTATACCATTAATATATGGATGTGTCTAAAAATGGGGTATATATAACCCCCAAAATTGCTATTTCATGAAGGGACAATGGTGATAAACGATTGATTTGAGGGATACCCCATGTTCAGACAATCCCATGTATTCATCACGACTCCCAATACAGTACATGAATATTGATATTCCTAATATGGGATCGGGTCAAAACCTATTACTATCAATTTTAGTGGAATGAACACCCATTTACCAGCTACTTTGGGGTTCACTAGGTGCCAGGGTTTTGACCCATAGCCATATACCATCAACTATAATACTATTAATATTAATCGCTATAAAACTAGCAAATATGACCATTGATTCTTTTGCGGATTATTCTAATAGGACTAGAATGGGATATGATATAACGGGATCCAATAGCTTACATTCTATATTACTATCAAATATTACTATTTATATACCATTAGTATTACCATTACTAATTCCATTAAATATTAACATCAATTATTACTATACTATACCATTAAGTATGAGTCATACACTATACTATTGTGATTATTATATTTCATTAATATACACTTAATATACTATTAACATTCAACTATTAATATACCATTAACATCAACTAAGTAACCATTCACTATTCCATTTTTTCATCACTTCCATTCAATAGCAAACCATAACAAATATTACATATTATCTGGGTAAATTATAATAATTCACTGACCCGAATTAAGGCCATAAAAGGGGATGATTTCCCGCAATCTAACCACTATTCCAGTGAGGGAGAACAGTGATGTCGTTATAATTTGCCCAGATTAATCAGAAATTCCCATTAAACCCCATTAAATCCCATTAAATCCCATTAAATCCCATTAAATCCCATTGAATCACCATTAGATCACCATAAAATCACCATAAAATACTAATATGCCATAGACCACTGATCCTTTCCGGCCTCGCCCATGTTGATGAGCTCGCTGGAAGCTCCGCCGCGGCGGGGCGTCCTGGCGAAAGCGTGGATCTGGAGGAGGGGTTTCTGGTGGGGTTACCCTGGAAGCGTCTACGTTGTGGAAAAACCATGACAAACCCATGGAACAACCATGGAAAATCCATTAAAAACCATGGAAATTCCATGAAAAAACATGAAAAACAACGGTTTCCGTTTGGAAAAATGATCTACAAATGGTGTGTGTTCCACATCTAAACGTTGACAGGAGGGGAACTGAAAGCTATAGTGAAGCTGCTGATATGCACAATTATGCATATATTATAGTTAATATCACAATACTGATGACAATATAGGTTCATATAGTTTTTACGGACAAGTAGATAAGAATAACTATACGTTTTATACTTGTGTTGTTATTACTAGATACACGATTACAACTATGTATGAATATTATACATGTGTATACGTGTATATATAGTTATATATATATAGTTATATATATAGTTATATATATAGTTATATATATATAGTTATATATATATATATAAATATAATGTCAAATTAGGATTAATAAACCCCGCGGTATTAATCAACCCCCTCTGCCAAAAAAAAATGTGATTTAAAAACAGGTGGTCCCCCCAGACTAATAAACACTTTGGCCTACCCCATTAATAAACCACCAGTGCTGAAATCCTTTTTTTTTATCCAAAACTTTCAATTGGTTTCCTTTTGGTTTCCTTTTGCTATATTTAAGTTGAAACTGCGTGAACACCAGAACCCATCACTGCTGATCATTGAAAATTTGAAAAAACAACTATTCCCTAAATGATCGATTTCTAATTAATGTCTTTAAAAAAATCATCAGTTTGGAAAGCTCCCGAAGGGTACCCCCCATGAGCCCATGTCCCCCATTAATAATAAGCAGGGTTTGCCCCTTATTAATCAACCCCCATGTCCCTAATGTTTTTTCTTTGGATTTGCCCATTCATTCCCAATGTCCCCCATAGCTTTCAGCCAATAGTTTTCAAGCCATATCCAAAATTTTATGGTTCAGGGTCCGTTTATTTAGGGAGGATTCAGGAAAGACCTTGCAAGTTATACCCGGACCTATAGGGGGGGTTGATTAGTCCGATGTTGGCATTATATATGAATATATATATATTGTATATTATATATATACATACATATACACACATAATAATATATATATAGTATCTATATTTATATATATATATATTTATTTATATATATAATTATATATACACATAATTTGAATATAGATACTAGAGTTGCTAGAGCTTTTGAAACTACAAGTAAGTAAGTGAGATTGAGGACTTTGGGGCTTAACTTGAGGGTCAATGAATAGGTTTGTCATGAATTCCCTCGAAATCCCATTGGTTTATCATCCTTCTCCCCACCTTGGAAATTGGCAAATTTGGATAGACCCAACTTCCAAGCAACTCCACCAACTGCCTGTCCCCACATGTCGGTGTGTCCTCAGAACCACGGGGAACTCGCATTTGTTCCTCAAGTACGTCCTGCGTAGCTTGGTATGGCAACCGGGTCATGATGAAAAAAAATGACGAAATCAGGACTGTTGATCTCATTCCCGCAGGAATGGCCCTCCAAGCGATAGAGAAGTTGGTTTACAACTTTGGTAAAACTCGATGTGTGTATCAGCCAACTTATAACTGGGGCCCCTTCCTGTGGCCATCGGAAAAAATGGTACCCTCTGGTAAACTAACATAACTATGGAAAATCACCATTTTCAATGGGTAAATCCACTATAAATGGCCTTTTTGAATAGCTATGTTAAATTGCCAGAGGGTAAAAATCAAACATCCCAGATTTGCTTTGATTGACTTGACATCCCAAATGATCAATTCAGGTTTTAAACTTTTTGACAACAGAATCGAAAGCGGTTCACAATCATGGTGAGTAGGTCCGCCAAGTGCGTAAAAAACACCATTTAGAGTGGCTGATAAACCTACAGATAATAAACACCTATTGCAAAAACATTGTACACAGGGTTGCTCCCAACACCCCAAATACAAGCAGGAAAAACTCGGTAGATAAAGAAGTAAAATTGCCAATAAGCGGCTATAACAATTTTCACCGGGCTGAAGCGGCACTGAATACATGACAACCATTCAATGGCCATTTCAAGTATCGATTTATTGGAGGTACCTACAACATCCTACAACCTATGCCTATGACTATTTTTCAGTGCCTTTTTTTCGGGAATATCCCCATAACATACAATATACCCTCTGGTTATTTAACATAGCCATGGTATAGATGGTCCATAGAAATAGATGGTTTACCGGTTTACCTATTAAAAATGGTGGATCTTTCCATGGCTATGTTAGTCATAACCAGAGGGTAGCTTATCTGGTACCAAATATCCATCCATTTCCGCTTGCCAAGGTGCACGTTACGGCGATGCTGATCTTCCCATTCAACGTGGTTGTAAACCGGTTGGGCCTGGATGACAGGCTGTAACTGGCCGGTGTTAAACCCTGTGGTCTAACCATAGGACCATAGCCCTGTTTTAGAAACCTTGGTTTTACAGTGTTGAAGTATCCAGAAGACCATGAGCACTTCGTCTAAAATATGGAGATAGGTGGTATAAAATCAAACCGTCCTGTGGGGAAATGGGATGTAATGGAGATTTCATGGGGGATTTCACGAGAAAAGATGGGGATTGGGGTTGGATTAGTGGTTTTCACAGTGGTTTCAATGGCAATATCATGTGGGACCAAAAAAACATATGCGGTTTTGGTTTTTTCAAGTCAACAAAAATGTCAAACGGAAATTCAAACATCAGAACTTGTGATTTATACTATCAAACTTTTGGTTTCAACTAATTAGCAGCATTTAACCAAACAAGTCATGCAGGGAAGGTGGGATACAATGGGAAAAAACGCCCCTCCCAGAGGAGACACTAGCCACACATTTGATAGCTGCCATTGGCTTGTAAGCCCGAAGAAATTCACAACTTCTCGGCTGCTTTTAGCTCAAATTGAAACATGTGTGTGAAAAAATCCACCAGCAGCAGACCATGAAAATGGCATCTTGAAGGGGGAACAGTTAAACAACTGTGGTCCAAACCACAACTTCAAGGCCTTCCCAACACCCTGGTGGGAACCGGGTAGATAAAACTAAATAAAGCTGTTAAAAAGAAAAAAGGTGGTTCACCCCTTTGGGCTATGATTCACATATCATCTGGATTAAATTGGTGTATACCCTTTGTTCATATATATATATAGATAGACATACAAAATCATACAAATATATCATACCTAAAAAAAAACATTGGATTTTACCATTAAATTGGTATACCCCATATAATTTTAAAGTATAAATTGCTTTGCCAAGGCACCTGCTGAATCCTCTTGAGGATCGATTGATTTTCTCGTGTGATTCTCATCAACTCCTTCCGGCGCCAGTGGCATGGGGAGGTCCAACGTATCCCCAGTGATGTTTGTTGGTTTGGATTCATACTACCCTCTGGTAAACTAACATAACTATGGAAAATCACCATATAAATATAATAATTAGTGAATCTTCCCATGAAAAATGGTGATTTTCCATCGTTTTTTGTATGTTTACCAGAGGGTATATGGTTGTAAACTTATACATCTTATACAGTATCTGGTTGGTGGTATACCTACCCCTCTGAAAAATATGAAAGTCAGTTGGGATGATGAAATTCCCAATATATGGAAAAATAAAAAATGTTCCAAACCACCAACCAGTATACATCTTATATATTATTTATCATTAATGCATAAAAAAAAACTGAAGTGCGTTTGCTAACCTAGCGATTTCGTTTGGGGGCCCCACTTGGTAATGTTATAATATTTATAGTTCATTGTATATACGTGTGAAATCCTGTAAGCGCTGTCAATCACTGGCCCCAAAGCAACAAAACATCGATGCTTGCCAGACATGAAGCACCTAGACCATCTTTGGGGAAGTCATTGGCGGTGCGCAATTCGTGAAGCCCGGGCCCCAGTCGAGAAAGGAGATCCTGTTCACCATATCAATGGCATTTTCCTCCGGACACATCTGGAATTCCATGATTTTTACCTTTGGATACCTGGAAAGGGAGAGAAATCGTGGTTGTCGATTGCAACTCTCAACAAAAGACCTTTTTTTTTTGGCAAACCCAACGAGTTGCGTTTATGCATGCAATGCCGATGTATTACGCTCTGGTATTTAACAGGCAGCTTTGGAAACCATCTACAAATGGGCCATTTTGATTCATCTTCCATGGCGTGAAATTACTAGGTTTGTTGATCCCCCAAAAGAACTAGTGGGATACATGGTGCTTACCTATCCCCCAAAAGGCTAAACATCTATAGCAACCACTCATAGAACGGTCGAATGCTACTATATAGACAACAGAACATGAATTAACCTGTTCATAACTTTTCTGGTTTTGAGATTTACCATCAGTGAATGGAACCCCACATCGGAAACGGCACCGCCACGCACCGCCACGCCCCGTCCTTCTTCCGTGCATCTCGGTTGAGGCTGGTGGGTCCTGCGATGTCACCCGTGGCTAGCCGTTGGAAATCCCCGAAGTCAACTCGGAGGTTTGTAGCTGGGAAAATCATCGAACTATTTCTGGGGGGATTGATTATCCAGCCAACCATAACCCATAGGATCCATGGTGCTGGTATATATGCTCACATAAATGGGGTATATTGATGGTAAATGTTACCATATATATAGCATACATGGATCCTATGGGTAATTGGAAATCTCCGAACTAAATGGATGTTTGTAGCTGGGAAAACCAGCTATGATATGACGTATTTGTCTTGAGACCGACAACAAGAAGAAAGCAACGGCCAGATATGACGATGGCATACCAACTGGCTGATATGTTGCGGCCAGCTATGTGGATGATTCCAGTGATGGAACACAAAAAAATGGGATCCCCCATTCTCCCATGAAAAACCATACAGTTCTCCCAGTTGGTCTGTGGATGTTAGACAAATCCAGATTAATCCATGATCTTCCCGGTGGATCCCGGTGGTTCATCCCACTGTCTTCTTTTGGGAACATGACTCGTGTCCAATGTGTCATCGGTTTAAGGGAACAAATCTTCTGGTTGAGGAGCGGTGGGTAACCTTCTAGCTGGGGATAAAAACTATGGTTTCTCTTAATCATCGCCTGGTTGGTGGTTTCAACCTACCCCTCTGAAAAATATGAGTTCGTCAGTTGGGATGATGACATTCCCAACTGAATGGAAAAAAAAATCTTCCGAACCACCAACCAGTCAACCAGTAGTTCATTTCAACCAATTCGGTCCATGTTTGAGGTAGACAATTCCGACCCATACACTCCGATTTCGCTGGTCTTGCTGGTTAAACACAAATCCCTCTCCGCACACCTCTCGAGAAACCCTGGTTTAGAAGGCCGATAGAGGCGGAGGATACCAAGAAGGGGATGGATTGCGTGATTTTTGACCCTATGGGAACTTAATAGATTGCCATGGAACATGACCCATTTGTAGATATTTAAAATTGCCATTTCCCATGGCAACTGTTCAATGAACAGAGACTATCCCCATGATCTATACATATATATAATATCCGATATCCCTTTTGAATGGTATTTCTGTGTACAGGTCCAGGTAATGACCATGTAATGACCATTGCAACGGCCCCGAAGACACCCCGGCCGACACGCTCGAGCCCGCCTGATTTCCTTTCGGCTGGAGGGAACGTGGTCTGCTGTTTCATGATCTCTGTCCTTGCTGGGTTTGTCCACAAAGGGTGGATGTTTCAGCCATGAAAAAACCAGAGGGTACTACCCGACTTTTCCCATGGTTTTCCAGGGATATCCCATGAAGGTCGTGGGGGTGAAAACACAAGGGATCAACTGGGTATGGTTGATTTATTGGGCTTCCAAAGACACAAAGGATCAAAGTATATAGTCATTTTTTGTGGTTCATTAAATTGCAAAAGGCCCATCCTAGACACCCCCCAAAAATCCCAAAAAAGGCTGTTTGGTCTAACCGTTACCATTTACAACAAAAAAGTATGCCCTATGCATTCAAGGTTTACCCATGCAGTATATATACCCCCAAAATGGATCCGAATGGCAAAATTGAGCAATTGTGATTATTGCTGACTTGGGTTTATCGTATTAAAGCTATACTCTTTTGATTTCTTTTGCGTTTATCTTCAATGTTCGTAGACCGTCCAAGTAATTACTCATCAAAATTGGCATATATATGGGGATGGGTCAAAACCGATTCTTACCCTAAAATGGGGGAATAACCATCCAGTAATCACCTATTTTAGGGTAGGGTATCAGGGTTTTGACCCCCAACCATATCTTACCCCAAAAAATTAGGCCGCTCAGGCCCCCTTTTTATGGCTACAACCGGAGGACCGCGGCGACCGAAGCTTGTCGCTATCGCTGGGCCCCCAGGCATCTTCTTCAGAAGAATGCGATTGTCGCGATCGATCTCTGTATACCTGTCCTGGTCGGTCGGGCCGGGACCCTAAAGTTATGGCCCGAGTTATACCAGGTATAAGTATTAACAAAAGCCCATTTATGGAATGTATAATCCCATAGAAATAACCAGCTATAACTAATAAATGGCCATAACTGTAAATAGAAAAGAACTGTGCCACCTGGTTTAAAAAACTGGGGGAGTCCAAAAATGGAGGTACCCCAGGTATCCCAAATATTGGATGGTTTATAATTTATAGTGAATAATCCTAATTAAAATGGATGGGGATACCGCTATTTTGGGACCTGAAAACGTTTACATAGGTGTGGAAAACCCCACCATTTGCAGATAATTATCCTAGGGAAACCATGGGGTTTTCCACATCTATGTTAGTTTACACTAGGGTAACTCATCTTTTTCCAGCGGTTGAATTTCATTGTGGTAAAGCAATAATCAATCGTCCCCGATTTTACCATGTACTGGGTAGTACAAACATTCCCAGCTGGAAGTTTATCGGCATTTATCGGATATCATTGGCTTTACCACATACCAGTAGTCAATTGGAAACACCATCACATTTCTTCAGATTGAAACCAAGCATAATAAATGGATAGTTGGCGGTTTCAAGTATGTTTGGTTTCAAGTATGTTTGGTTTCAAGTATGTATGTTTTTCTTCAGATTGAAAGCATTTATGGCGGTAAAAGCTATCGAGTCGTTTCCCACTGAAGGTCTTTGGCTCCCTGGCTGGGCACAAATGGGCACAAAAAAACTGATTAAAAAATGATAAGCTGTTGCATAGAAGTATTGAAGTAGCCCAAATCATTGATTTTCGAATAACACATGACAAAGTTTGGATTCTTATTTCTGGGATATCACGTACTTCCCATTTTAGCAAACAGCAAAAAAACGGGGGCTTTTTTTTTTTCGCAGTTAAACGTCAGGTGCTAAGATCCAGTAGATCCACCTCAAACTAGCCATCAAACAATGCAAAACATTTGAAACAACATGATAAAATGATTGGCAAAGCAAGGACTTGACAACACCAAAGACACAATTCAAATGTGTTGTCTTCCTAATGAACAGTTTTTTAAATATATATATATATAATTAATATCACATTGCTATCACCATTGTGCATGCTGCCCCATGAAATCCCGCTCTCGGTTAACGGATTCTCCATGATGACATGCCTGGGGGAATGGTGGGAATGCACCAATCCATGGTAACATGGTAACCCCCAAGAATCCCATTAGAAATGGCTTGTAGAAATCCCATTCTAGAATAAAACCCATTAGAATAACCATTGTAGAATAACCATTGTAGAAATCCCATTCACCATTCATCAATAACCATGGTAACCATGAATAACCCTTGAACTATTGATGCTTAAATCCCATTCGAAATCCCCAAAAAAACAAGCCATATTTCCTCGACTGTCACCCCTGAGATTCCCGCGCAAACGCACGCTGAATCCCTGGTTTTGTGAATGGGCTAAATAGGGGCAATCTCCACTTATAACTAGGATTATAACCGATTTCCTAACTGGGATGAACCTCCAAGTACATTAAATCCATGATTTCCCATGGATAAATCCACCATTTCCTGTAGTCATACTGGTAAAATATCACCATCATATGGTTATGATCCTCATCGACATATTGTTGGTGAAGTTTCACCTTCAATATCCCAGTTACAAGTATCACCATTATGATTTGGTGGTTAAAGTATATATCATTATTTATCCACATCATTAAACAGTATCCCCATCATTTATATATATAATTATTATACTCCTTCATTGAGTGTATATTTTATATATACCCCATCATGTCCTATCATTCTTAAGTGTATAAATATCATTAAGTCTATATTATATGTATTCCATTAAGATTGATTAAGTGAATTACATATCTTGTTGGCTAGTGTCTATTATATACCCCATTAAGTCCCATTAAAATTCAGTAAGTGAATTACATATCTTCTTGGCTAGTGTCTATTATATACCCCATTAAGTCCCATTAAAATTATAGTAAGTGAATTACATATCTATTACATATCCCATTAAGCGTATGATATCTGGGTGAATTCCTACCTTATTTCCCTCTTTTTCGTCGTGCCGCCCTGTCCTCCATCATCTGTTCCTTCTTCAAGTTCACCTTGACATGTTCCAAGGTCGCCACCTCCGTTGCGACAAGTACCGGCGAACCGGTCTAGGTATAACTCATTGGAAAGGTTGGCTGTTTGCAGATTGGGAAGGGCTGACGGTGTATATGTATATTATAATATATAATGTACATATATATAATATTAAACAATATATATATATATACGCATAGCAACCCCAAAATAGTTGATAGAAAAGTTGCAGAGTTGGAAATTATGATGGAAACACAGTCTATACCTCAAGCGTGTGTTTGTTCAAATAACCAACTGAAACAAAAACGATATCCGGTAGGAAAAAAACATGTTGGGACGTAAATCATGGTAAATCCCAAAATTTTGACAAACATCACGGTAGATCAAGTGAAATCCTCTTTCGGTTTGTCAAATCCCCTTCTTTGCAGCCATGGCAAGCCATGGAAAGCCCGTATGGCAGCTTGAGGTCCAAACGCTTGGCATGCCAGTGTCTACCGTCGATTTCCTCAGCTCCATGGGTGGCATTGTATGGCAATATCAAGCTACAAAACTGGGCCATATTGAGAGATAAATGTTGCCTATGCATGGAGATGATAATCCCGATTTGAAAACAAAGGATGTATGAAGTCAACCACCAAATTTCTGGTCAAACGCGAATGATTGCTGATCTCTGAACCCCTGAAGGCCCTAAGATTGTTGGTCGTGTTGGGTGGCTCAATCATCTAGTGTTTGAACCCCTGAAATCATGGCATGATGCGAAACTATGTGGCCGTATCATCATCGTATGAACTTCTATAAAGCTCAGCCAGAATGAATGGCTTTCCTCATCATTCCTGTTCATGGTCTGATTATGTCCTATTTGTCAATATGAGTTTTCTTGCGGCGTAATGCATCTTTTCTTGTCGAACACAATGAAACGACATTTGGCACCAAAAAGAAACCGCTTCCCGCTTCTTTCAGAGATGCTTAATAAAATGGGCAACAAAAAAGTTGGTCAAGAGGCTGGCAGCCGGTGTTTTTTTCATGGTACAAAAACATGGGTAAGCGTGAGCAGTGCGCAAAAAAAACTATGGGCATATGAACTATGGTAGTATAAAGCCCATTAATTAGTTACCTACCCTCCAGTGTCATCAAAGATGGCAATTGAAAATCCCCGAACTAAATGGAGGTTTACGGCTAGGAAAATCAACAAATCAAATGGTGAATTTTCCAGCAATCCCCGTGTGATTACCAGAGTGTATCTTAGAAATGGTAAGTGGGGAAGAAGCAATTACCCTTCGGTGTCATCAAACACAGCTACGGTAGTATAAAATGATATAAAATGTATGAAACCCATTAGATCATCAACAACCCACGGCAGTTATGGCACTTCACAGTTATGAATGGAACTATAGCTCCTACAAGCAAAAGTTGCATGTCATTCTAAAACCATGTATCACTGTCGAGGGCCATACCCTCTGGTAAACTAAGATGGCTATGGAAAATGGACCATAGAAATAGTTGATAACTACCCAGCTATAAAATGCTGGATCTTTCCATAGTTATGTTGATAAACCTGCATTAATCACCATGTTTATCCCATGAAACCCACCATGAAATCCCATTGAATCACCATTAATCACCGCCAGCGCCCAGCGTCATATTTCGAATCCTTTCCCGATGCATCTGCTGCCTAGGGCCACTCCGCGGATCTCCGCCAAAGCCGAAAAAAAAAAGTTTGTCAACTGGCTTAAGATGTGCTTCAATTGGCTATGGTTCAATGGTGATAAATCATATTTAATCATATTTAATCATGAATCACGAGAAAAATCTAGAATTCCAATTCCATTGAGATATAGGGATACACTCTGGTTATGAGTTTCATAGCTATATAGATGGCCAAGATGGATCAAGATGGCCCATCGAGTTCGATGATGGCCTGCGTATGTCTGCATCGTCGGTGATGATCATCGATAGTTGGGCTTGTCTGAGATACGATGGTTGATGATGGTTGATGGTCATTTTCCCCTATTGGATAGCTGGTTGGTGGTTTTAACCATCTTGAAAAATATGCGAAAGTCAGTTGGGATGATGACATTCCCAATATATGGAAAAATAAAACATGTTCCAAACCACCAACCAGATAGCCATTCTTGGGTTTTTTGGACCTTTTGCAGAAACACCCACTACAAATGGGTCGAACCTAAACAACCAGTTATATCGGAAACAAGACATTAAAGATGAGATCTTTGACACAGCAAGGTCTTGGTTTGCTCAACAAATGAGAGATTTATATAACAAGCTAAGAATCTACAGTAAGTGGCCAAACGGCACCTGGGAAAAAATGATATGTGATTTACCCTCTGGTTATTTAACATAGCCATGGGAAATGGCCCATTTATAGATGGTTTACCTATTAAAAATTGTGATGTTCCATGGCTATGTTAAATAACCAAATGGAAATAAATTTGATCAACACTCGCAGGGATATTGCTGGCATTGTTACGAACAAACATAAAGCTTTAGCAAATTGAACAGGACTTAGGAGTCATTCAGGCAAAATAACACGTTATATATACATTATCATTACAATACATCACATATAATTATAAACCAACAATAATGGGCCGGGCCTGATGAAGCATCATCGGAACTCCAACATGGCACTATTAAACACGGATTTAATTCCAATTCATCTCAGAAGATATCCCCTTAATGCTCCCATGTTCCTTCGTTAAAATCCCACATTCACATATGTCTAGCCTTCTTTCCCCCCGCTGCCATAGATAAATTTCGATCTTTGAAGGCAACTCATTTTGTTTTTTTCTGGCTGGATCTACATTGACTGTTGATGTCCATATAAATACCAATTTTTGAAGGTTGCATTCAATCTGCTATTAAATGTCAATGGCACCACCCTTGTTTGTTTGATCAGCTTCCCTCTCCAAACAAACGCAAGATAATAATCCAACAATATCTAACATCAAAAAAAAGACGATTGGTGATATCGCTATTATGAACATGTATATAGATATTATAAACATTATTAAACAGTATCTGAACATGTATATAGATATTATAAACATTATTAAACATATTAATGTCCCCAATCCTCTGAGGCAGGGACTCTCGTGCTTTAATTCTCTTGGTGCAGATCTTGCTGCCGCAGGGGATCGCCTTGTCCTGGCAGTTTTGGTGCGGCGAGTGACTCGACAAAGGTCCGACTGAAAAAGAGTTCTAATGACTGAGATATGTGAGAAACAGAAACTATTCTTAAGGATATAAGTTAAGATATGATTAAGATATATGATGATATATATGTTAAGATATGACTAAGATATCAATACAGTAGAAGATGACATAAGTTAAGATATGATTAATATGATAAGATGATATAAGATGATGTAAGATGATATAAGATGATAAAAGCTAAGATATGAGAAACAAACTGAAACAAACACTATGCCAATAGCATCACCTGAGAAAAAGAGCTTCTGTGATTTTATGGCACCATTCCACAGGAATTTATTGGGTATGGGTATGGTGATTGATGATGAGCATCACCTGATATGTTTCCTTGTTGCAACATGCTTAACTCAGCTAAATTCCAGTAGGAAATTGTAGCTACAACTCAAACTCAGCAGTGGTTTCCGTTGCCGGGTCCATATCGACAAAGGCAAGCCGAAACTGCACGAGAGAGGCTCTGGAGATGTTGGAGATGTTGCCTATTCTGTGCACCAAAAAAATCTGGCAACATGTACCCTCTGGTAATTTGTCACATAGCGAACTGGAAAATGGCCCAGTCGAAAGTTCGTTGATTTACCCAGCTATAAAATGGTGATTTTCCATATTCACCCATTGAAAATTGTGATTTACCATCTTTTTTTGTATGTTTCCCAGAGGCTAACTGATACATTCTACGACTGACATGGTGACCGGCCGCCGTGGGGAAGGGAACGCCCTTCCCGCTTAGAGCCAAAACCCAAATCCGCAGCGAAGCTCGGCAGCTCTTGAGGGGTTACCCTGCAGCAAACCAAGAAAAATGCGGAAAAAAACGTGAAAAACCATGGTTTTTTTCACAAGGAACATGATCTAGAGGTCCTTCGCTGTTCCTTGGGTTTGTCTAAAAGTGAAGTGGTTTTAAAGGGCATGATTCCCATTGATATACTCAACTTCTGCATAACGACGGCCAATGGACCAATGTCGGCAATATCCAAAGACATCCGAAGTCGTGTGATGTTGCAAGGTTTTTGCAAAAGCAAAGTTGAGAGTACCCGTTGCAATCTGGGATGCTTGATTCATAGATGATTTCCCAAATTGAGATGCCAGATGGGATTCCCATCGTATCCCCATTATAACACCATTTTTCCTCGTTAAGTTAAAAATCCCATGTTTTTGAAAGATACCCTCTGGTTATTTAACATAGCGATGGAAAATGGCCCATTTATAGATGGTTTACCTATTAAAAATAGTGATTTTCCATGGCTATGTTAAATAACCAGAGGGTAAATCATGAGACATCCCTATATCTTCGACATGGAGATTTCTGAAGTCCTGGAGGTAGCTCCAAAGCCTCATGGATAGTGACGACTGGGGATCCTCCATGACTTAGGAGGCCACTTAGGGAGGTTTCCTAAGTCATGGGATACCCCCAGTCATCATCCATTTTTGTTTGGGATTTTCCCATATGTTCCCTAACAAAAACAATCCAATATTTTGGGTACCCCCATGACTATATGGAAACCCCCAGATGGTCATTTCCCAGTTCCAGCTGGGCCCCAAGGGCCAATCTCCGACCGCACTTTTCGCGTCTCCGTCTCCATTTGGCCGGCGCCAGAACCAGGATGACCTGAAGCCAGCGTCCCATGAGAGATCCAGCCTGGAGTTAGATCTAGCAATATCTAGCAACCCCAAAACAGGATAGAAATGAGATCTATACAATGTGGGGCCCCCCAGTTATGTTTGTTGGTTTAGATTCGCCCCAGTAACTAGTTCGTTATAAGTACCATAAACCATAGTGAAATTGGAGTTATGTTCACCAACTTAGGTATCGAACGGGGGCCTCACATTGTAGCTATCTTGGTAGGATTTGTTTCTGAGTCAAACAAATATCGATGAATTGGTGCTGTTTCTATGTTCTGCGACCTGTCGACATCGGTGCTGATCTGATCCTGCTAATTCAGGTCGCCAATGACCTCCATGGTGATCACAATTGGATGAGTTTTGCGGGGAAAACAACTGCTATGTTGCCATGTTTAAAATATGTTAAAGTCATCAACACCAACAAACCCACCATTCGTCAACTTGCCGACCTTAGGCAAGAAACAAATCGAGTTGGATGGCCGAAGCCTCATCTTTTTGGTGGATCTCCCAGTGGATCTTCGTGCTTGTCACGTGCTGAATGTTGGCGATCAACGCGGGATCAAAGTATCAGATATTATATTACTATATCAGTATAAGTATCCCATAGATTCAGTTGTTTTAATTTAGTACCACTTGTTCTTTGCATTTCTTTTTTGTGTCCAAAAACATTGTATGTTCCCTTCGAATTCCAATTCTTGTCAGATTCAACCCCTCAAAATTGCTGGTGTTCATTCCTGAAACCATATTTTTAGCGCCCAAAAGCCCCATTCTTGTTGATTTGTCGTATTGTTGCTGCTTTAAAACCCTAGCGAACACCCGGTTTTCAGTGCTATAAAATCCTTCCAACATAGGAAAGCGTGGCCGGTATATGTCCCTTTTTGGGGAATTGTTTCACATCACCTTCACGTATCTGTTGGATCATAGATCCCCCTTGCAATTGGATGCTGTGACAATTTAGGACATTTAGCAGCCCCTGTTCTGGGTTTGTGTTTTTTCAATAAGATGTCCATGAGATTTTACTAGGATTTTTTTCTGATTTCTAAAAACAAAAAAACAATCCGATTCTTCCAGTTGATTTTCGAAAATCCCGTGATTTTCTGGTTGTTGGTTGACCTATCCCTCTGAAAAATGATGGAGTGAAAGTCAGTTGGGATGATGACATTCCCAACTGAATGGAAAGTCATAAAATTCCATGGTTCCAAACCACCAACCAGTAGTAGGTATCAGTATATATTCTACATATATTCCATATATTATAGTTGAATTACCCATAAAAAATGGTGATTATTCTACATATATTCCATATATTATAGTAAAACTACAAAAAAACAATGGTAAATACCTATAGTTTTCCCCTTATCAATAGACATTTGGTGATAGTATATTCTGAAAATAGTTTCCATAGTAATATAGTAATAGAAAAACATGCATATATTATTCCATATATTATAGTTGAATTAAAAATGCTACTATAAAATATTATATACAGTATCAGTAGGTAATTAATGGTAATTCTATATAGTTATAGTATATTCTACATATATTCCATATATTCCATAGAATTACCCATAAAAAATGGTGATTTTCCATTGACCAAACAAACCGTGCCATGGCGGATCCCACGTCGCGGCCGGAGACCCGGAGACGCCTCGTGTCCAAGGTCTCGGTGTTCTGCCCGATGGCACGTTCCAGTTCGCGCGCCAAGGTCTTGGCCTGGAGGTCTGCTGTTGGATGAAAGAAAGTCGTTGGTAAATGATGTATATATATATATGGATAAATATATATATATGTATGGATATATATATATATATGGATATATATATATATATGGATATATATATATATGGATATATATATATATATCGATATATATATATGGATATATTTCGACGAGGAATGATGAGGACAATAACCATATATGATGGTGATATTTCACCAGTATGACTGCAGAAAATGGTGGATTTAACCAGAAATCATGGATTTAACTTACTTGGTGTTTCATCCTCCGAATTCTAAGTAGCTTAGTTCACCCCGGTTTTGTTAATGGGCTAAGTAGGGGCAATCTCCATTTATAACTAGGGTGAACTAACCCACATACTAACTGGGATGAACCACCAAGTATACATGATATATATATATATATATATATAGATGTCATACATACATGCAAATATATATATATATATGTATGATGTGTATGAATATATATATATATATATGCATGATGTATACATATATATAATCCGTATATGATTTATCGTATATGATCATAATATATTGTCATAATATACTATGGACTCTGATGGTATATGGTATACTTACTAATTATATGTGATTTAATAGAAACATATGTGATCCATATAACGAGCTAGATCATCCACATATGATGGTCTACATGGATAATATAACGATATATATATATATGATGGTATAATACTATGATGCTACATATTATGTATGGATTGTTAATGGTTATGATACGTTATGGCTGTATATTCTATACATCAATATCTTTGGATTATGCCTATGCGTGGCTTAGCTATTATGGCTGTTGATCTTCTATGGATTATTATGCTATATAGAAACATAGGGTAACCCCAAAAAATAGATCGAAAGGCAAAATCCTATACTAAAATAATGGTGAATTGTGTTTCAATCTTGTTGGGGGGTTCTATATGCAGTAGCATATAAATCTGGTTGGTGGTTTCAACCCCTCTGAAACATATGAAAGTCAGACTATGTTCCAAACCACGAACCAGAAATGTGTTTGGTTCTACATTCTGAAGCACCAGCTTCTGATGTGTCAGATTTTCTCACACGTCACCTCGAATTGTGGTGCCGGGATCACCGCCACCTGAGTGCAAGCAAGCACTTGCCAGGTACAAGGTGGTGCCCCCTAGATAGCTAAGTTGGTTTATAACTCCAATAACTATGGTTTATAGGTGATATATCTATAGTTAATGGGATTATAAGCCAACTTATAACTGGGGGGCACCACCTTGTAAAGATGATGGCCCATTTCGTTCGACGATTTACCATCTGGCAATCAAACCTGGCTGGAAAATCCCCGAACTAAGTGGAGGTCTGTAGCTGGGACAATCATCGTTTGGTAAATGGGTGATTTTCCAAGCAAGCCATGTTTGGTTACCAGAGACTACCTATTAAAAATGCTTAATTGCCAGATCAAACGCTGAGTTTTTTCCATCAAACGTGGGGCCTGGGCATGAAGGGGTAAACATAGAAGTGAATGGTTGATTTTCCATGTCGCGATGTTACCTGACCAGAGGGTAGGTAATGATCAATAATCCCTGCCCTCCATATGAAACACCCCCCAGAGTCCCGATGGTGGACGTAGGGGTCCCCAAAACACAGGACCGTGGACCGTACCATGGGGGTGCACCGCCAAGCTTGACCCTTTTTAGCCATGGCGAAAAATGGGGTACCAATGTGCTGTTCAACCAATGGACGGTCATTCACCAATCGACAGGTCATTGTCTCGAATGGAATTTCTTTTCAAGCTTATTAGTGGATAAATAGATATAAATCCAGGATAAATACCATCCGGGAATCATAACTTGGCTGGAAAAGTCCCCCAGTTTGATGCAGAACGGATGGGAGGCGCGGTCATCCCTCCCGTCATCTTTGAATCATGGGAATGGATGGTTAATGTTAATGTGAACAGTATGATTAGTTATATAATGTTATAATCTTAGTTTATCTTAACAGTATTAGTGTTAATGTTAAACATAACATGTTAATGTTAACAGTATGTTGAGGATATAAATCACTGGTATGTTTAGTGATTCATCCATCCCATTTCAGTGTATATAAATCACTGTTAATGTTGTGTTTTTCTGAGCATCACACCAAGTTACTGGGCTATCTCCTCAGGTTAGACCCAACCAATGGTTCGAAACGTCTCGAAACGATGGTTGCTTTGTTCGGACTGGTAGATTGGACCTTACAGTGAAAGGCCTTGGAATGATGGTATCCACTACCTACAAGGCAGTGCCCAATGGATAACTAGTTCATTGAAACAACTAGTTGAAGTGGAGGTTTATGGTAGACATATGATACATCGGAACAGTTAATATGGTGAAACTAAACCAACAAACATGATTGGGGACACCACCTTGTACCTACTAAATGAATCAACATTGAGCCTGAGCCATCATCACAACACATTTCGAATACACATTTGAAAGGCTCGAGGCCAAGAGGTGAAAACTTGTCTTAATACTAATTAATACCTACTTCTACATCTCATATTCATGGGCGCTGAAAAATATGACTTTGTCTGAAGATAGGGTAATTAATGTAGCTATCTTCAAATCCACCGATCAATCATGATCAATCATCATGTCCCCTATCAAAATGAACATAACTGGTGAGTAAATACCCCGTTTCAGATACACCCATATCCTTCCAGAGGGATAAACCAACACCTGGGACCTGTTCCAGGCTCCGGGGTCGCGAGCGTAAACTTTCTTTTGAGTCAGACCAGTCTGAAGCCTGCCATGAAAGTTCCAGCACACCAACCAGCTGAGTAATGTCAACCAATGTGGGCCCCCCAAACATTATGTGAACGTTGGTTAACAAAAGCCCCAGTAACTAGTTGGTTATAAGTACCATAAACCATAGTTATTTGAGTTATAAACCAACTTAGCTATCTAAGTTATTGGATTAATAAACCCCAAACGGCTGTTTAATTGGGAAGGTGCCATTTCAGTATCAAACCATAAGTCCATGGGGACCAAAATAGTGGGATGAACGTCGCCCAGAATTGCTGGGCTCACCACTCCTTCATAAATTTGTGAGCAACCACCAAAAAATGAATACCCTCTGGTAAACTAACAATGGAAAATCAAAATCTTCAAATATCTTTAATAGGTAAATCAACTATAACTAGGCCATGTTCAATAGCTATGTTAAATTACCAGAGGGTAAACATGATAAATCTCTGGGGACCCCCTAAAAGGCAACCGGCTGAAGCGGCCTCAACTGTTTGTGCCATTGATAGCTGCTGACAGCACGTCCAGCCTGGGGCTCTTTAAAGCTTTTTTGCGTATCGCCGCGGGGTCGGTGTTAATCCCTTTATGTTATTTGAAATCACTTACCCTCTGGTGAACTAACATAGCCATGGAAAATAGCCCATTTATAGATGGTTTACCCATTAAAAATGGTGATTTTCCATGGCTATGTTAAATAGCCAGAGGGTACCCATCACTTTTTTTAAATGTGATTCAGACATATTCAAAGTGAAACCGCCAACCACATATATTCAATATTATTCAATGGCTTGGTTGAAGGGACAAATGACACCGGAAACCATGGTGGAAACCACCATCCATTTTCATGGTGAAGCGCCTGGCCCCTCGTCGCCAGTCTCGGCGTCCCGGACTAAGTAGCCGAAGGAAAAGGCCGAGACCACGGCTGGAGCGATGATGGTGACCTCAGATGCTGGGTGGTTGAGTAAAATCTTGCGGCCTTTACGGAACATGGTGGAATTGATGATGATACATGGTGAGTAAAAAAAACAGAAACACATAGGGAGTGAACCAGTAATGATGATTTAAGCCCCAAACATCGGGTCTTGAGCAGCCAGAGTTATGATTTGGTCCCCAAATGTCCCCAACATCCAACCATGATCTGAGGACATCCTCAACAAAAGGCTGGTGGTTGGCACACCACTGCGATGAAGCTCGCCTCTTCGGCGGTGCAAAACTTCCGTGGGCGACAACTCCCTGTGCCAGCCGAAGGTTGATAGAAGCGGCAAGTGCGCGCTGACACTTGGCAAAACGGCGTGCCCGACATGAAGACACGCAAATCATTTCGCAGTCTAGCAACTGCCAGCTTTGCATTATCAACCATTTCAATCAAACGTGACACTACTTGACGGCCGCCATACTATAGTGTTTCTTTGTTCACAAAACACGTTCAGGTGTCAACTCCAGGACTTTGAATCCTGTCATATCTTCCAAAAGTTGAAAAAATGCTCACGAGAATTGCTCGCAACCATCATGTACTTGAGAAACTCATCTACTAGATCCAACCAGCTCCCAATATGGAATTTGGATACCCTAATTCCTATTACTCCATATATTCATAGGCTTTCCTATTCCCTATTACACTTCTAATAGGGAATATTCATGGAATATGGATACCCAATAGTTCCCAAAAGTTTCTTCCTAGCCGATGGACAAGGCCGACAAGTTTTTTGTGACTCTGGAGTTGACCTTGTGCCGCCAGGGCTCCCCAAATATGCTCAGCTAGGATCATAGTCCTATTTTGGTTGGGTTGAAACAACTATTTTATATATTATATACATATGCCGTATACAGTGTGTATATATATATGTATATAAAAATTTTATATATATATATATATCATATGTATGTATATGTATGTGTATATATGTATATATGTATATATGTATATACATATACATATACATATACATATACATATACATGTACACATACATATACATATACATATACATATACATATACACATACACATACATATATATATATATACATATGTACAATATATAAGTGTAGCTACAAATACAACTGAACCCACCAATCATGGCTATACTGGTCAATTCATTTTAAATCCAAAATTATGATAGTCACATTATTTCACATTGGTTTTCCCAAGCTTTGGGTTGGTCATCATGTATCTGGGTAAAATATCATCATTCACTAAGCTGAACTAAGGCTTCTTCTTGGGAACATTACCCGAATCCTAACCATCATTCCAGTGAGGGAGAACAGTGGGGTTTTTATAATTTATTCTCAGGTATGACCCTCAACAGTTATAAATCAAACTGAGATTGCAGTAACTCAGGTTACATATCATAATAAACCCGTTTATAACTGTGAAGGGCCATAACTGCAGATATCCTGTGCCAACCCCCTGAAGCGACATTGCCATTTTGAGATCCGGACCATCTCGATCTTCGAGATACTCCGCACATCGCTCTTCTCATGATCTCACGCAGTTGTTTCAAACGTGGCTGGAAAATCATTGATCGAAGATGTTCCTGTGAAAACACCATTGATCCAAAATTTTCAATTGCCACGTTTGATTATATGTCAGGATATGCCACGGTGATCACACGAAGTATATTAATCAAATTCAAAGTATTTCAAAGGTTTGTTTTCTTAGTCATCGATACGGATGTGTCTGGGTTTCCGCACCAGCTCTCTTTTCCTGATCATCCCAAGGAGGAATATGGGATATCAACAGTTGTCAACCTGGGGCTGGTTTTTAATTTTTTGAAAAACCCTGAAAAACAGGGGGTTGGGATGCTGAATGATGCTGAATTCGTGTTGTGAACCACATAGCAAGTTTGTATAGATAGATCCAACCAGCATATTGCGGTTGCCAGCGACAATCCCCAGAAAGAACCCCAGCAAAACAATTGAGTGGAACATGAACGATTTTTTTAATGATGGTTTCTACTTGTCTCAAAACCGTGTTTTTTTTTCTGTTGGATCATTTCCTTCAAAAACTGAAACCACAAGATCTAACAAGATGGGGGGTTGTTTGTGCACTCGATCGTGTGGGGCAATTGCCGCACCTGAATTTTGAATCATTTTCAAGTACTAGTACCACAAATTGTGTACGATGTATAACCTCTGTAGCAGATTATACATAATTTTCCCGAAACACAAAACAACAGCGTTGCATGGCACTGTACCTCCGGGTACCTTTGAAAAGGGGCCAACAGGTTTATCAAGTTGGGCAGTTTCACCTATGGTCTTTCTCCAAAGCTGGTGTTAAACTTATCGTTTGATGGGTATATCAAAGAAAGAAAGAAAGAAAGATAGATAGATAGAAAGATAGATCGATAGATCGATCGATCGATAGATAGATAGATAGATACATAGGTAGATAGATAGATAGATAGATAGACAGACAGACAAACAGACACACAGATAGATAGATAGATAGATAGAAAGATAGATAGATAGATAGACAGACAGACAGACAGACAGACACATACATAGATAGATAGATAGATAGATAGATAGGAATAATCCATATAGATCAATTACAGATAGATATAATACATATAGATAAATTACACATATATATATATAAATATATATATATATATATAAAACACAAATAGATAGATAGATATAATACAGGTAGATAGATAGATAGATAGTTAGTTAGATAGGTAGATAGATTAGATAGATTAGATAGATTAGATAGATTAGATAGATTGGATAGATTAGATAGATTTGATAGATTGGATAGATTGGATAGATTAGATAGATTAGATAGATTTGATAGATTGGATAGATGGGATAGATTGGATAGATTGGATAGATTAGATAGATTAGATAGATTAGATAGATTAGATAGATTAGATAGATTGGATAGATTGGATAGATTAGATAGATTAGATAGATTAGATAGATTAGATAGATTAGATAGATTAGATAGATTGGATAAATTGGATAGATTGGATAGATTGGATAGATTGGATAGATTGGATAGATTGGATAGATTGGGAAGATTAGATAGATTAGATAGATTAGATAGATTAGATAGATTGGATAGATTGGATAGATTGGATAGATTGGATAGATTGGATAGGTTAGATAGATTAGATAGATAGATAGATAGATAGATAGATAGATAGATAGATAGATAGGTAGATAGATAGATAGATAGATAGATAGAGAGATAGAGAGAGAGAGAGAGATAGATAGATAGATAGAGAGATAGAAAGATAGAAAGATAGAAAGATAGATAGATAGATAGAGAGAGATAGATAGATAGATAGATAGATCTGGATTATATATCTATATACATATCTAGGTAGATAGATAGATAGATCAACAGACAGACAGGCAAACAGGCAAACAGACACACAGATAGATAGATAGATATAATACATATAGATAAATATATATATATATATTTATTTATAAAAAAACAATTAGATAGATAGATATAATACAGATAGATAGATAGATAGATAGATAGATAGGTAGATAGATAGATAGATAGATAGACAGACAGATAGATAGATAGATAGATAGATATATCAAATATAGATAGATAGATATATCAAAATATAGATAGACAGATATATTAAATATTAATATAGATAAATAGATTTATCAAATATAGGTATATAGATATATCAAACATACACAGATAGATAGATAGATAGATAGATCGGTGGATGGATGGATGGATGGGTAGATGGATAGATGGATAGATGGATAGATAGATGGATGGATGGATAGAAAGATGATAGATAGATGGATAGATAGATGGATAGATGGGTGGATAGGTCGATAGGTAGATAGGTAGACAGATAGAGATAGATAAATGGATGGAAGGATAGGTAGGTAGGTAGATAGATAGATAGATAGGTAGATAGGTAGATAATAGTGATAGGTAGATAGGTAGACAGGCAGATAGGTAGATAGGTACATACGTAGATAGGTTGATAGGTAGATAGATGGATAGATAGATAGGAAGACAGATGGATGGATAGATAGATAGGTAGATAGGTAGATAGGATAGGTAGATAGGAAGACAGATGGATGGATAGATAGATAGGTAGATAGGTAGATGGGTAGATAGGATAGGTAGATAGGTAGATAGATGGATGGATGGATAGATAGGTAGATAGATTGATGGATGGATAGACAGATAGGTAGATAGGTAGATAGGTAGATAGGTAGATAGATGGATGGATAGATAGATAGGCAGATGGATGGATGGATAGATAGCTTTCTGTCGCCTTTTTGACGGAGAAATGAAACTATTTTCAAGGCTACCAGCAGTCGTTTGAGTCAAGGGGCCATGTCTTTCATCTTTAAGGAAATCTCACCTCAGCCGAGGTGCCAGGAAGGTGACTTCAGCAGTTTCCACCATGGAGGTGTTGGCCATGGTAGCGAGATAGATTGTATAACTATATGATATACTATAGTCATCTATAGTCATTGTTGAATGTGGTTTACCTCTAATTCCAACCTAGACATACCTACACCATGTTGGTGAACATTCGAAAATCAAATATAGCACCCCAAACTACAGCAATTTTGTAGATGATTTCTGTACCAACAATTGTGATTTCCAGAAAATCATGCCATTCATTTTAGATCACCAGGAACGCAAACGAAACTAGACTTGGTGACTTGAGGTGGTTTAATGCTTAAAAATACTTAAAATATCTTAAAGCATTACTATACCTTGATCCATAACCAAAGTGGTTTGTCTTTCCAATAATTAGGAACCATCCCAAAAATCATTCTCTTTAACCTCTGGAAAATCAAACGTGGCTGGAAATTCCGAAACACATATTTTAAAAAAACATAATTCTAGATGATTTTCCAAGCTATAAACCTCGATAGGGGTTTTCCATGGTTTTCCCATACGTTCCCCCGATTTTCCCACATGTTCCCCTTGTCAAACCTCCATTGAATTCGGTTCCCATGGGAAACGAAAACACGCAAAACTGAGGTCCCGTCTCATAGCCTTGGCAAGCCCCAGGATTTCGTGGAAAAATCTGGGATTTTCCCTGGAAAATCCAATCCATTGAATGAATGTCTATCATATCCTGGTTGGTGGTCGACCTACCCCTCTGAAAAATAATGGAGTTCGTCAGTTGGGATGATGACATTCCCAACTCAATGGGAAAATAATCCAAATGTTCCAAACCACCAACCAGATATGCATTCCCAACTGAATGGGAAAATAAAATTCATGTTCCAAACCACCAACCATTGTCATATGAATGTAGTTTTTATCGGCAACAATAACCCTAGTAATCCTAGTAGGAGCCCGATATATGTTAGAAAATATCCCTGTTCATCACTTTTCGGCATTTTTTGAGATTGTTACTATAATAATATCATACTATATCATAGTCATAATCTGCCAATGATTGCTGAACAACACTTTTTTTTGGTGGTGGCTGACTGAGAACAAGTTACAAGTTGTCCTTCCGCGTTTCAGGTGAAGCTGAAAAACACAACTGTTTTTGTGGCAAGTCTTTTGTGGGTGAAAAGAACTCGAAATACAACACCGAGGAGTAGCATTACCCTCTGGTAAACTAACATAAATATGGCAAATCACCATCTTTAATTTTAACAGGTGTAAATCAACGAATTAAATGATTAAATTGGCGATTTTCAATATGTTAAATTACCAGAAGGTACCTAGCCTTTGTTTATATGTTTTGTGTGGGGAAATGAGTCCAGTACTTTGATAACCATCGTTGCAAGATCTTTGTGTGAAATATTGATCTATAGTTCCCACGGGGGCTGCCTGTTGTGCAACCTCCAGCTCTCCCCTCCGTTGTTGCCATCACCACACATAAAAAAGTTCTTGGAAGCTGGAGACAACATCCATGGGCTATGATAAACATCAAGCATCCATAAACATCCATAAACGTCCATAAATATACAAATAAAAATAAATATCCATAAAAATCTATACATGCCCCATTTTTGGACTCGAGCTTTTGTCCATCAATCCTTACGTATGCCGCAGTTGCGTCTTTATGTTAGCGATCGTCTTTACGTTCGCTCTGGATATGAATCATGGATGATCAAGTTGCCAATGCCATCTTGCTCATGTCGAAAAAAAATACCAAATCTGACTATAAAGGTAGTATCATTAGCCTCCGGTAAACTAACATAGCTATGGAAAATCACAATCTTTAAGTTCGATAAATCAACGAACTAAATGTGCCATGTTCAATAGCAAGCTGTTAAATTACAAAGAGGGCAGCCCATTTTGGATCCCAATGTTCCCAGCTCTAGACTTCCATCTAGTTCGGGGATTGGCCAGCAATGGTTGATTGCCAGAGGGTAATATCCCAGATCAGTATCACATGATATCCCAATCATATGACAAACATATCCCAATTCTATCCCAATCATATCCACCACCTATTAACCATGGATTTCTTCACCATCATTAATCATTATTAATCATTATTAACAATCTATATTAACTATCACATCCAGAGATTTTGGACCCCTAAATCTTCCATTGTCGTGATGGGCTCTAGGGACTCCTTCGATGCGTTCGTAGTGCACCCTCCGCAAGACGTACACCTGAGCGAAAAATGGGCGAGGCGTGGAAAGCTATGGCTATGATATGACCATCAAAAATGGGGATGAGCACGAAACATGATGGATTTAAAAGATGTTAAAAGATTTACGAAATAACTTTCTGGAATTTCACTACAAAGTTGATTTTAAAGCAGTTGGCTGTATGCTGCCTAGCCTTTCTTCACTGTTTGCCCAAAAAGGTCCCCCTTGGATTTCCGACACACCATCCTGCCAGCGCTGAACTGCCGGTGCCCACCAGCCATAGGAGCGACCTCACGAATAGCATATATGATATGAGGAATACGATGAATCTAGTGAATATCATAGATAACACCTTATGATTAATTACCATATAAGAAATGAATATACAATCATTTATGATGATATATTATTAGATAAATATGATGTGTTGAATATATTGCATTATATATGATATATTCAATATGATAAATGATATGTGATATATTTGATAGATGATATTATGTGATATGATGTGATATGATGCAATATGATGTGATATGATGTGATATGATGCGATATGATGTGATATGATGTGATATGATGTGATATGATGTGATATGATGCGATATGATGTGAAATAATTTGATATGATGCGATATGATGTGATATAATGTGATATGATATGACATGATACGATGTTGTGTAGGATTATGTTACATTATACTCTCTCATGTTATATCATATTTACCAAATTATATTATATTTGTGTTGCAACTATGTAATTATATTATGATACCACAAGATGATGATGACGAGTTTATGATTAATATGAAGAACATGATGAGTATGTCGCGTAATCAAATACAACCATATACAGACTCATTATCTCATGATTGTTACACCTATATATTTCTAGGTTCATAACATCTAATTATTCCAGGATGGAGTCAAAGGAGACTGTGGCCAGTGACACACCATGTCTACATCAAGCCTTGTGGAAAACAAGTCCTTGTCTGTTTCCATTAAACCGGTCTTGTTTTCTGAATGAAAGCTGAAGCAAATGAAACATAACTTGGACTAGCGATCCGGACAAAAACGAATCGAACTGGGGGTTGCCTTTGCCAAATGAACTTATAAATAAGTTGTAAGTTCCATCATAAAACTGGTGGATTCTAGTTCCAACAACCAAAGTATCAAGGGCGACCCACACCCTCCAGAAAAGTTGGTTTTAAGTATCAAATTACGGGCTCAAATGCAATTTTTTAGCGGTACTTGGAGGGTCTATGTAGACACCAACTGAGATCCGCACTTGTGATCTTCAATGACCTCGGAAAAATCCAAAAAAATCACGGAAAACCATTGGCAACCACTGGGAAATCCAAACCATGGGAAAATCACAGCAAAATCATGACTGGTTGGTGGTTTCAGCCCCTCTGAAAAATATTAGTCAATTAGGTTAGGATTATTATTCCCAATATATGGAAAAAATGTTCCAGACCAACAATCCGATGATTGTTCTACTCAAGAGCTTCGGCCCACGCCTGGCTTGAGACTCTCACGAAGTCTTGGGAAGCTTCCCGAAGGACCTGCAAGGCTGAAGCCGAAACGAGCAGGTAGCCCTCATTCCGTCCACCCAGAAAATTCTGAAACATGTGCCCGGAATATGGGTATGTAATAACCCATAGGATCCATGTATGCTATATATGGTAACATTTACCATCAATATACCCCAAATGTTAGCATATATAATATATCCCTGGGAATCGATGATTGCAAATATGCACATTTGAGGCATGATGTCAACATGTTGCATACGGAGGCAATGATGCCAAATTTTGCTAACATTTGTTGGTACCCATAAAAGTCCATTAAAAGTCCATCAAATGTATGAGGATTCACACCATCATCCATTGCGGCTCTCCAGGTACAACACATCATGGTGTTAGGAAGTCAAGTTTATCATTTTTAAAGAGGCATCAAACCCTCATTGTTAGGCATCCAAAACATGTGATCAGCTGTGAAAGAAACACCATGTGTGGAAAATATCAAGAATATCGTGAAACATCAAGAACATTATTTCAAAAGGTGCATGCTTCTCTTTTTTGGCGTATGAAACGCCATTTGGCAAAGCTTAAGGCTGCCAAGGCCACTAGCCATGGTAAATCGACTGTGACTGGTCATGGCGAATCTACTACTGGTGCCAAAGGGGCTTCGAAGGATTACTTGGGTTTTTGGTCAGGTGCCATCCCGCCCTTTGCTCTGGGTTGGTGGTTTTGTGTGCAAGGTGCTTTAAGATAGCAAGGGCCGTGGAATTTGTTTGATTATCGGGATGGATTAAATTGCATTGTTGGATTCTTACAGTTACCATTAATCTTGGATCTTGACGCATTAACAGGATAAACCACCAAAAGAGGTGCTGGGAACTAAAACCACATTGTGTTATGTTTGGCTGCCTGGAGGGTGGTCCTCGCACAATATTATAAAATATTATAAATATATTACAAGGGTCCGTGTCTGTGAAGCCAGATTTCCCGGTCATAAGCGGTCTGTTTTTCGCGACCGCTTCATTGCGCTGTTGTTGCGGCTGGCTGCGCAACACGGCACAATGCCTCAGCGAAGCATAACGGGTGGGAATGGATAGGGTGAGCATGTGACATGTGATCGTGGGATAGCGGCATTGCGGAACATATGGGTCTGTCCGTGATCTAATGGCAGGGTACTACCCCAGAACCCCGTTGAAAAATCCGGAGAAACCCATCTGATGTTAGGGTGACCCATGTAGAGATCATGCCCGAAAAGTATTACTGCTTGGATGACAGATTGGAGCTGGAAGTCTCTCCCTCTATCAGTTCACAAGGGTTCCCCCAAAAATGACTGAAAGCAGGGGGTCATGTCTGTTATATGATTGTAGGGTACTACCCCAGAACCCCCCTTGAAAACACCCGGAGAAACCCATCTGGTGTTAGGGTGACCCACATGTGGAGATCATGCCAGAAAGGTATTAATGTTTGGATGACAGATTGGAACTAGAAGTCTCTGTCCCTGTATCAGTTCTCAAGGGTTCCCCAAAAAAATGAATGAAAGCAGGGAGTCATGCCTGTTATAGCATTGCAGGGTACTACCTAAGAACCTGCGGGAAAACAGCCGGAAAAACCCATGTGAGAGGAGGATTTTGGCAAGAGCAGTCGCCGCAGGAGGTCCAGCGCTGCTCGAAGGCCGCCGCAGCCGCAGCCGCAGCAGCTAGTCAAAGGCAGCATTGCCATGCCGCACGCTCCAAATTGCCTGAGCAGCAACCTGGAGCCATTCTATCTCTTGACGAGATGCACCCCATCCAAACCTGGCACAAACCGGTGAATTGGGACGCCTCAGTGTAGATGGCCGGGAGGGACATTCCCAAACAACATGGTGCCAATGGCCAAGCGTGTTGTCACACCAAGGACATGTAGAGGAAAAAACCTGCTGGTCCTGCATACAAGCAGGCGACAACAAAGCACCGCAAATCACCGCCCTGTATGGTGGCTTGTTTTCAGCACTCTTACGAAGAGATGTGAAATCAATGCGAGAAAAATCAGAAACTGAGAGCCCCTGAAGTTCAGCACACTCATGGCGACCACAGTTAACAAACTGTTTCCACATGAACCACCGCCACCCTTGCCTAGCAGCATGGCGAGCATTCTGTACTTGCATATGACATAAATCAACCAAAAAGGACTCATGGTCAGCGGCCCAGCACCACGGCCGACTGGCTCTGTACCCATGCTTAGAAAACCATCTATGAAGGGTATGCACTGGAGTCGATCGGCCCAACGAGCCTCTCTGCAATGAATCATTTTGGAGACAATGCGAATCAAGGTGGCACAAGGCAAAATATCCAGGTGACCATTACCACCCCAAATGATGGCCCGCAGGAACTTGTTTGCATGCTGATGAACCCTTTGTCCTCTGCGCACTGCCGCCCACAGAGACCATGCAGTGGCCTTAGTAGGAAGTCTAGCCAGCCAACCGTAGCTGACCTTGGGCATTGCATGGCTTTGAACAGCCTTCCAAAAACGCTCATATGACCAACGCAAGTTAGAAAGAAGCTGCAAAGACTTTTGGGCAGCTGCAATTCGTTTGAGTTCAGCCGTGCTTTCTTTCCGAACAACAACCTGAGCCGTGCAGCCCAAGACGTGAAATTCAGTAGTGACAAAACCAGGGTCAATGTTTTGAGCCAAATCCTGACAACCCGTGGCTTGTGTAGCAGTGACCTGCGTTTTCCCACTGCTTTCCTGGAGGCCAACGGAGGAACTCCAACCCTGCCAAGCCTGGACTCCAGCAATAAGGGTCTCAGGTGATCTTGAGACAAACGACCTGTCATCCATGTATATGCGACTGTACAAACCAGGAACAGCAGTTTGTACAAACTGAAAAACCCATGTGATGTGAGAGATACCCATGTAGAGATCACGCCAGAAAGGTGTGAATGTTTGGCTCAAAGATTGGATCTAGCAATCTCTCTCCATCTACCGGCTCACACTCGTCCTCCAAAAACCACATGAAAGCAAGATGTTCCAGGGAAATTGGTTGTGGAGGCCACAAGCATCCGGGCCCATCTTTGCGCACAGCTGATTCCATCTAATCCTCATAGAGCGGTTCGGTGCACGTGACAACAATGCTATTGTGCTCCAACCACGCTTGATCCGACTCGTCCAATGCTGCCATGTCTTCATACCACCGGTTGGTGGTGATCACCATTTTGATGCCGTGGAGCCACACTTTGTATGTAAACATGTTTGTAGCACTGTGTCCAAGAGACACTTCCTGGGTGGTGCCTTGAAAAATTTTGCGGTGCTTGGACACAGTCATCGCCGGGCATTCGTCAAAGACGACGCATTCATGCATCAAAGGGTTGAAGTGACGCAGGTCGGACTGTTCAGCCGAGCCACAATCCACCACGAGAGTCTTGGAGGCGCCCGCCAGGGAACAAGCAAAAATTGTTTTGCCCACACACGATGGCCCAGTGAGAACCAAAAACTTGCATCGGAACATGGGTGCCGAGAACTGCGGCAGAAACAAAGTATCGACAAGTTCAATGCGCTTGGCTTGCTTTTGCAAGGGGAGCAAAGCGGCTTCTGCTGCTTTCTTCCGCTCTGCAATGGCACGATCTGCTTCGCATTGGGCATGATAGTCAACATTCTCAAGATAATTCCGAATGTGTTTCTTGGCACGAACGTACTCCGCTTTGGCGGTGGAGGATGCAATCTTTTGGGTTGCCCAAATGAGTTGGTCACCCACTCTGGGGTCAGTGGGAAGGCGTGACAAGCAGGGTAATTGGTGGCCATCCGGATAGCACCGATCTTCGGGACTTGGAGATAATAATGTCCCTGGTCAAAGGCGCGGCGGGTGCACCGCCCCCGTGCCCGCGGAGCATCCACAGAAACTGTAGGGATTGGCCAGCTTGAAGCGAAGATTTGCCGCCTGCAAGGTCACAGTCTGACTAGAATCGAACATGGCGTGGAAATGTACTGAATGGCACACCGCTCTGCGCAGTGACTTCACAGTGGAGCTCCAAAGCTATGGTCCAGCGAGCCAAATGGAAATGTTTCTGCAATCTCTCGAAAAAAGCGACAAACTCCTGCCACAGGGCTTCAACAAGGGGATGCTCTCGGAGTGTCGCACAAAGCTGGTCCACCGAAGCTTCAGCCGGAACACTGTCCAACACAGACCACCGCCCCGACCATCGCATCATGGTTCCTATTATAGGCCTCGGTACCACGTCACTGCAGCTTCTCCTGCTATGAGCGGCTCGCCCACCTCTGCTTTCCATTCCGTCTCAACTGTGGCCGCTGCGGACCGCAGTGCACCAGAAAAAACCATACTGGACAGCTGGGATAACTTTGCATCTGCTGAAACATCCTTCCAAACACTCTTCAAGTGGACGCGTGCCGCGTGGCCGGAAAGACCTTGGACCCGCATCTCTGTAGCGACCCAGTGGTCCCGCACCACGGTCCTCACCCGAGACCTTTGCTCGGGCGTGTCCTGCATAGGGGCAGCAGCCTCCTCGGGCACAGATTTTTTGCCATTTAATTAAGCGCCTGCGTTTCATTTCCGCAGGTCACATAGCTCAGTGAAGGCCAACCAAGCACAGGCAGACAGCGTGCATGTCGCGCATGCGAAGCAACAACAAGAACGATACGAGAGGGAGCAAGGATCGAGAGGTTCACCTGCCAAGGCTGTTACAGCAATCCGCTGATAGCACTGCGGCAATGATATGAAATCGTGACACATGGATCAGCAAAAAACCCACCAGGAACGGGGCTGGAACCCTATCGGACTTGCCCCCCAGGGGGAAACATGGGGACCAGGAACAGCCAGGAACACGAGGATGGGAAAACTGCACCAGAATCAGGGGTTCCTGAGAAACGTCGGTGGGAGATAGAATAATATTCTCCAAAAACCAAATCTCAGGAACGCTGCCAATGAGGTAAAACCGTGCTTTTCGACAAGCAATCCAAATGTTACTAGTGGTCTCCACTCCTTTTACTAGTGGTCTCCAGTCCTTTTCCTAGTGGTCCTACTAGTGGTCTCCAGTCCTTCTAACCCCTCTGCCGCTTCCCACGCGACTATCCTGAGCCAAGGCACGGCATCAACAAAAACCAGCGCTCTTTGCGCAGACCGTGGCCACAGCAGCCAGCAGCTTTTGCAGCGGCATCGCAGCGGCATCGCAGCGGCATCGCAGCGGCAGGTCGTCCGGACCTGCCCGGCAGGAGATGGGCCAGCCAGACTGGCTGCATGTATGCATCTTTCCAAGCTTCTCAAAGTGATTGGCTGGCATGGACACCGCCAGGTCACCCCACAATAAACACCAGCTAAACACCAGCAACGTCCGCTGGACTTGCAACTTGCACCCAGTCAGACGCATGACCAGGTACATGATGCAACCGAAAGAAATTGCTACAGTGATGGCGATGTATTAGTTCTAGCTGGTTATCCATGGGGTCATACATTCATTCAATGGGGTTATATGTCCTTAAGTGGTTACAAATGGGGTTATACATTCAGTCAGTGGGGTTATACATCCTTATCACTGCTACAGGGCCATACCTGTCGGATCCACCAGCGACTCATGACTATCTACTTCCCGTGGTTTCATCCAACATTTACCCCGCGCTTAGTCAAATTTTATCATCGCTGATCCCCAACTATACCCAGATGTGTTAGGAAACGATACCGCAGGGTCGAGCAGGTCACTGTGGCTTGGCATTGTCAAAGCGCCCAATGTGGCAGGAAATGCCATCAGCTTTCTCAGGCCAAGTGCCCAGCTATATATCACTCCTTCTATATAGCTATGTGCTATCTATGGGGCTATCTATGCATCTTTTTTTTCTATCCCCGTCTATCTATCTTTATATCAAGCTATCTATCTATCTAGCTATCTATCTCTCCCTTTCTCAATGCATGAACCTATCTATCTATGAATCTATTTATCTATGCATCTATCCCTAACCATGTATCCCTCTGTATCTATCTATCCAGCTATCTATCGATCGTCTATCTATCGATCTATCTACCTATCTATCTACCTATCTATGTACCTATCTATGTATCCATCTATGTACCTATCTATCTATCTATTTATTTATCTATCCATCCATCTATCACTCCATATCTCAATTTATCTAGCGATGTACCTATATCTATCTATGAATCTAGTTATTGATCTATCGCTCTATGTGGCGATCTATTTCCATCTATCGTACGCCAATCCCAGCGTACTCGACCATGGTTTCTTCATTGGGGGGTACTCCTCCAATAGTCCGCAACTTCAATGTTACCTTCCCAACTGAACAGCCCAGGGGGTTCTTAAATCAGGGTTGACAACCCTGGATTACTAAACCCTGCTCTATTACTTCGGGGTACTCCTCCACTAGTTATCATCGGCTCGTGCTATGGCACCCTCCCACTGATACAGCGTATAGGGTTTAGTAATCCAGGGTTAACATTACCTATTAAATCTCTATCTTAGCTATATATCTATCGCATGTCAACCCCGGATTACTAAACCCTGCTCTATTACTTCGGGGTACTCCTCCAATAGTTATCATCGGCTCGTGCTATGGCACCCTCCCACTGATACAGCGTATGGGGTTTAGTAATCCAGGGTTAACATTACCTATTAATCTATTTCCCTCGCCTGCCGCGTGGCCAGGCAACCCCGGCCGCCGAGATGTCGCAAGCCAAGGCACTGCACCAAAAAAGGAAATGCCACCCGCAGGCTCTTCGA